CGTCCGTAACGGGGGCGGTGTGGGGGTGGGAGGGGGGGCAAACTATAGCTCTCATAAGGATGATCCGATCCGAAGAAATCTGCTGTGGTAAAAGTTGCGTGGCTATTCGGGACTCGCGCGATTGAAAACTCAACTCATTATTTGGAGAGGGGAGTACACTGTTGCGTCGGCAGCGGGTGTTAAAAGCACAAATATTAAAACTCACATTGGTCAATAACACTGCTTCAAAAAGGAAAAGTATCCGATAGGCGACGTTTTGGGCAATGTCCCTTCAATGATGTGCTATAAAGAAGGGTCATTGTCCAAATGGTCACCCATGACAGGATTTCCTTTTAAGGTCAGTGTTGTTATTATTGACAAATTTGAGATTTTTGACAGAGAAAAAATTGGGAGAAATGCATTTAAGGCGTGCCTGAAACTTGGAAGACACAAACCAGAGCGAAGAAAATTACCATTTGCAAATATGTCCTGCCAGCGAGCTAAGTCAATTGCATGTCGGGAAAGTGTTACTTATCCAACATGCATACGTGTATTTCCAAACTTGTTTCGGGTTGGAATCGTCATACTCTACCCCAGCAGTGTGTGTTCATCCCATCTTTAGCATATATTAGTATAGGGCATCTTATTCAAATAAATAAAGCATGTCGTATTTATGATCATTTTGTGATCATTTTACATAACAGATAAATCTCTTCTGCTTTTCATGGCCATTGTTTTTTTAGTTTTTTGTACTCCCCCGTTTGGACTGGACATATTAAACTGGTAGCCTTTCATTAGTCAACGCCAGATAAACAGTTATCCCCCAAGTAAAATGGCTAAAGTTGCAACAAATAAATCAAGCCACCAATATTACAGTAAAATATTCCAAGATTTACACCTTTGAAATCATTTCTGAAAAAAAGACATCACACAAACTGCACCTTTCACCACCCCTTCAGTGTGTTTTCTTTTTATAAATCCGTAACTGCAAATTAAAACAGGATATATATTATAACATTTAAAACTTGGGATTAAAATAATGGGGAAAGGCTACATTATACAAATTAAAACTTATTTTCAATGGTGACATGAAAATCTACTTGCCAATTATGATACAAAAGCATGCTATAACATATATAATTTTACGTGCATAAGTGTGTACGGCAATTGTAATGTACAATTATCAACCTTTTATGAAATAACCTTGGGGAACTAACTTACGATTATGTTTGCGAGTAGTAGTATTTCTCCATATTGAAACTGGGCGGTGCAAACATGGAAAATGGACAGACAGATGTTTTATCCAGCCAAAAAACAGCATGAGTCCCACTCTTCACAACACTGTTGAGTAATTATGATAACGGAGATGATAACAATGCATCAATTAATCAAGTCTCTACAGACTCATGGCGAGTCATCGATTCGCGTGTAAGAGTCCATGATTTTCCATCTGTATAAGTTGGACGGTGGTGGGAACGGTGGGACAGTGGTTGGCGCACTACGCTGTGAATCCCCGGCCACGGTGACTCTTAGTGGCTGGCGATGTCTAAGCTGGCCCTGAACCCACCACCCTACCCCAACCCGCTCAAACGACCCCAATAGCGGACACACAGCACTGGCAAGCTTTCACCCAACAGCGGGTGGACAGAAGGGTTGTTAAACAAGTGTTCACAGAATGAGCTCACGTGACTCCTGCAGCCACTAGAGCCTGCTAAGATTCACCACGATTTCGTATTCGGGATATAATTAAATTTTGATCACCCTGGATCGGAGTGAATCTTCAGCACCCCTACTGATAAATGTGTGTTAAAGAGTTGGCCGCAAGGTTCGTGGGTTATGTGCATTAATGCCTTCAACCCTCGATCACCAGGGCAATACGGGGGGGCCCCGGATAAAACAATAACGCGAAATACGCGTCAATCAGGAGTGAACAACGGGTTGTTTCCAACCTACGTGGGAAGCGAGTGAAGGCGTGGAACGTCAAAAGTCTCTGTTTATCACTTATTAAAGTGCTCGGGCTTACTCGCCGACACGTGTGTGGTCATGTGGGCACACACCTCGTTGGCCCTCCTAGAGGAGCGTATACTAATTACACTGGTCAACAAAAAACACACATTTTTTTCTGGCCTGGACTTTTGCAGCTGTTTTAGACTAATTTCAGGGTGATGATTCCAAATCTGATCTCAGAGTTGCTCTATCACATCTCATTTTTATGCTATCGGCATACCCCATTTTCATTGATTTTACCCAAAATTAACTCTGTCACTTATGATTGCAAGTTGTTGCGAGTCAGTGACTGCTTTAGTGTTAAAATATGGTGCTGTATTTTTAGGATAGTGTGTTTATAATATCATTTTATGTAAATATCCACATTTATTTAATATTTTTCTTCTGCAGTTTTTATTGAAAATGCAATATTTGATATCTCAAAAACCTGATGTATAGACAAAAACTAATGCCAGATTTGGAATCAGCACCCCAAAATTACCTTAAAACCATTGGAATACCTTATGCCAGAAAAAGTGTGTTGACCAGTGTTATTAAAGCAGCATCGCGTGTTTAGGATATTCACACGGTTAATGCGCAATCGCAATAATCCACACGTGTATAACAAAGCGTTTACTGCTCATCACAGTGGAGCACGAATGTAGCACTTGTACCGAAACAAAAAGTGGGCGATTCTTGCTTCCTAATTGTTGAATTCCGAGTTGGGAACACGGCATCGGACAGCTGTACGAGGAGGACAGGCGGTTAGCGCCGCGTCTTCCAACTGGCGCTCGCTAATAGGCACGGCCCACGCATTTCAATACGAAGACAGTCGCTTCATTACGAAGCACGCGGTCGACGCTACTTGCGACTTCACACAAGACGGGCTTCCAAACAACTATGACGGCGCAAGGCCCTCCTTTAGTGACCGAGCTATTGTACGCATCGGTTTAATCGGTGTTAATGTCTCTCTCTCTCTCTCAAGCTGTTATGAGGTGCACGGGGCAGTTCATACAGCGGCCCTCCAAATGGATCACTTTTTTTTTTAAGGGGGGGGATGGGCAAAGCTATTTATTAGCTACATATTTCCAGAGAGTTGTACGTGTTAATTGAGTCGTTTAAAAAGTGTAATCACTGTAGTCTAAACACCCCTCCCTCCCCAAACTGGGGCATCTGTGCGCAATTTAAAATGCGGGGAGGATTGCACGTGCCCATTTCGCAAACGTGCCAGGAATTCTCCTATAAACCCTTCAGAATGTCCAGTACAACGTTGTGCAGTAGGTATGCAAGTTATAGATGTGGCACCACAGCAGAGGGCCCCCCAAGCCCATCCCCCACCCCACGTTCAAACTGACACAGAGTAGCGGCCAATGAACTAATTGTTTGCAGTGTAAAGCATTCACTATGAACCCGATGGTGAACGCAACCATGTAATGTAGTAACACTCTGTTTGTAATCTACAGTAGGAAAAAATTATTAAGATGCGGATTAAACAGTGAAGAGTAAAAATTTGGTTGAATGTTGTGCAAATTGTTGGCGAGACGCTGCAGCCGAGTGAAAAGGGCACTGTGAAACCTGCACCGTGGCATCGAATCAAAATCCTTTCCACGGTAACATAACAGCCCAGCAGCCTCGGCTACAGCTCCTCCATCCATGCAGTAGACACTGCTTGTTTGTGGAGCTCGTCGCTGAGACACGCGCAGAAACGTCTAGGGCTCCGTCTCCTGGCGCACAAAGTCACATTTTTCAACAGTCGGTGCCACCCATGATGGGGATGAGACGGATTTTAGTGTGCAGTCGATTTTATTTACACTCAAACGAATATAAAACCATGTAAGGACCAAGCCCATGTGTGTTTTGTTTAACGACTAAAACTACTATTTTGTGGGTTTTCACAGTTGTGCCCTGTAGCTCTCGGATGTTTCTTCGGGTTGCAGCGTGCGTTGTTTGGAATGATTCCCGACGAGCAAATCGGTCGGAGATCATAGGCCATATGGCCTTCCATAATGCAGGTTTTTTTGGGTTAGATCAGGTAAATATATAAATGTGTCGTGACAGCCTTCGTGACAGCCGATGTAGTAGAAGCCAAAAGTGGATTTCCTGCTCAAATGTGACACTGAGGCTGTGTTCAACTCCTGTTTACAGCAGCCCTTAGCGAGTGGCGTAAACTCCTCATTGCCATCGAGGGGGTGAATTTATGCGTAGGCCATCCACTGCTTACTTACCCAAAATGTGTTCATCGTTTTATCGACCCCGGAGGGATGAAGGGTTGAGTCAACCCCCGTCCACGCCCACCCCACACCTAGAATTTCAACGAGCTACTGTCCGATCGCGAGCCTCTCGCTCTGCTGCCAAGACACCTGGCCCCCCTGCATATAAGAATGGCATGAATACCAAAATGTCCTTAAGTGGCTATCATGCCGGACAACGTGCTGCACAAATCGAAAACAACATGGAAGTGCAATGAAGCACTATTTCGGTATGAGAACTGGAAGCTTTACCGATCTTTGTGGCTCAAACTCCGGTGTTAGATAAGAGCTGGGGTCATCAGGCCAAACAGGGGGGGGGGAGCCACAACCGTGCACAGCCCCAAGCGTAATTACGTTGGCCTCGTTTGGAATTTGCAACTTTACGCAACAGACACACCATCCTCGGGCACACTACGCTTATTTCTCTAACCAGTGCCAAAAAAGGCATGCCGACATAATTTTACAGGGGAAAAAAATGAACGCACCAGCGCCCTGAAAAGAACAACAATCCCGATCCCAACGTCCCACTAATGTGTGCTTTTGCTCAGAAAAATTTAGTTGATGCAAAAAAGTAAATGGGAAAAAAAGCGGTAATACATCGGTTTTTTTTTCCTTTGTTTTTATCAATGTGACCTCCCCCGACTTCTCGATTCGGAAAAATTGCGGTCGCGCTCAAAAGTATGTGCACAGCATTTACACCGCGTCCAAAAAATGTGTTTTGCGCAAACACGCTCGAAAACTTCCTTACATTAAACCACCCACCACCCACCCCACCCGCCCGCTCGCCCGCCCGCCCCACTCCTCACTCATTCGATGTGAAATGTTCAGTCCACCTTCACCACGCTGTAAATCTTGCGCACGAACCAAAAGCAAGCGAAAAATCCGATGGTACCTGCAAAAGAGAACCAGAGTAACCTGTCATTGTACAGATGAGACATTCAGGTTACACTTGTTTTTACCCAGGAATCTCGCAGAGCATAAAAAAAAACTCTTCTCGGGAGGGTCCTGTCAGGGTTTTTTGCAGTTGGGTGGTGATGCTTGCTGTGCGTTTCCCAATCGAGTAATATCAGCGTATTTCTTTTCTAATTTAGAAAATTTGGACCCTGACGCCGGCACACAGTGGCAGCCTACACTTGCAAATGATGCAGGGGAACTTTAATGTCCACTGTGAAGCAGAGGGCGCGTAGCAGTGTTATGGTTATTACACTCGCAGCATTAACCAGGGCGGCCGCTGGAATACAACCGTGAACCTCTGCAACGAGCGGCGAGCTCCTAACCGCTGGGCCGCGTCACCGGCCAATCAAATCGTGGCATTTCATTCAATGGTAATGAAGGCTGCAAATTGCTACAAGCCCACAACGAATTTAAAGTAGATAAAAAAAATGACGCAGGGGAACTTTAATGTCCACTGTGAAGCAGAGGGCGCGTAGCAGTGTTATGGTTATTACACTCGCAGCATTAACCAGGGCGGCCGCTGGAATACAACCGTGAACCTCTGCAACGAGCGGCGAGCTCCTAACCGCTGGGTCGCGTCACCGGCCAATCAAATCGTGGCATTTCATTCAATGGTAATGAAGGCTGCGAATTGCTACAAGCCCACAACGAATTTAAAGTAGATAAAAAAAATGTATTTACTCTAATTACTAAAACACATCTACAAATAATTACAGTGAATAATCTGTTAAACTTATTCCCTGCAGTTTTCAATCTCACATCCCTTACAGGCACACACCAATAGAATTGATCTCTGTGTGAGAAGAAATGTCAATCCTCATTATATTAAATACCAGGCTAAAAATATTTCCAATCATCGCCATCAACCCACAACGCCTTAGAAGCGGGACACGCGCTGAATATACGATGAGCAAATACGTTGAGCTGTGCCACTTTCCCGGAAACATGGGTTCACATCCAGACCGCAACTGAACTAGTTGATGTGTGTCCACCCAACTCCCAATCTACATTGACAAAGGTGGTGAAGTATGGTCAATCAACTCCCCCAATTGACATCGCTGTGCTGGGAAGTCTTCATCCATCAGCGGACTTACAAAGGATTGAAAATTATTACATTAACCTCTCTATCATTACTACCAAATTATATTACGAAACTAGTATTTCAACAATTTAAGCAATGGTCCTCCATCATAGCAGGTGAACTAAGCTGTTTAACTTGCAACGAGTTAGGACAAAGCGTATCCACAATGGTTCAGGTTCAATATGTATATATGGATGTATGTTGAACGTCTTTTGCAGCGTACGTAGCCAACCATATTAATCGGATATGCTGGAGAAGGACAACAAACTAAAAACAAAAAGCAGTTTGTAAGTAAAATTAGATTGTAAAGTGCATAGCTCCAGTGGCTTCCTAACATCGGGAGGAAGAGCGTTCCGGATGGCCGCAGGAGCGCATCTGAAAGCGCGCAATGCGGGTGACCGTCTTCGTTCGGTGGCTAGCCAAGAACCGCTTCGAGGATGATAAAATCAGGGTTGACAAACATCACTCTACACCCAATGTCATGACCCAGTGGCATCGTGTGGTTGGGCACAAACCTCCGGTGCAAAGATTGAAACGGATCCCCCCCCCCCCCCCCTTTGTAGCCTGGCGCTCTGGGCTCCCTCGGGCCCCCCCCCGTGATGGGCCTCGGCGCAGTCGCACCGCCTGCGCACTTCCGACGGCTACGCCAGTGGAGCTCACCGGTGAAGAGGAAGAAGAGGAGCACCATGATGAGGGTGTAACCGAAGTAGAGGATGGTGCTGGCGATCCCCTCTATCTGCAGCTTGGACACAAAGTAGTGCACGGCGTAGATGAAGAGGTAGACGGACGTGAAGCCGCTCGTGAGGAACGAACGCCACCACCACCGGTAGTCCTGCAACATCGCGCACGTTAGCGGCCGTGCGAAGGGACTGCGATTTTCTCGACGCGTCACAAAACGCAATGCATGCGCGTTCGTTCGCTCACCGTACGGTTCAATGCCGAGCGGTGGTTCGAAATCTTTCTGGACCCGCAGACGGTCACCGTCAACCATCGACAAAAACAATTGTTGCGGGTCTAGAACGTAGTTGGTAAGTATCTAACTGCGGCATTGCACGGACCTCCTTCCACGGCATTGCAGATAACAGGCAAGTGTAGAGCGTAGTGTTAAGAATGTGTGACAAAATCACCAGGAATGCACCCCATCTTATCAGATCTCAGAAGATAAGCAGAGGTCGAGCCTGGATGGAGCTTTGTTGGGTGACCGCCATGCCAATAAAACAGCTGTAACAGGCATCGTGAGCAATAGAGCGCAGTGCAGCAATAGCCACGGTTCTTCTGTACTCCCCCCCCCATACAACTTCACCAACCCGCACGGACCAGCGTGGTGAAGTTATGGTCAAACATTCCTATTATGCTCAAGTCTGATGATGATGCCGATGCACTTCGCGAGGAGGTGAAGATAACTCCGTGTTAACGTCCAAACTTTTTTTGGGGGGGTTAAAAAAAGTTTTTTTTCGCTCGAAAAGATGGACAAAAAGCTTGGGCCCCCCCTTTCATTCCACTGCGCGGCGAAGGGAGAGATATACCGACACGGATCGTTGTGTCGCAGGACCGCGAGAGGTTGGCGGTAAATTAGTTCAGGTATTCCTGATGTAATGCCATGCGCGGGGGAGGAAAGGGGGGGGGGGGGCTCTAGTCCAACAGTAATTTTTATTCCTTTATTTCTGCCCTCCCCTGTCCTACTCCTGCCTCTCTTTCTCATTCACGTGTTTTTTTCCGCCGTTCCCTGGGTCACAGTTGCGGAGCACCAGGTTCTTTGTGCCTTCACTGTATTGTTGTTGAACACATATACAGAATGAAATTAAAGCTCACATCCATCAATAACCCCGTGGCCTTAACAGAGAAAATATACAACACACAACGTTGCAGGCATTGCCATTTAGGTGTTCCGAAGACAGGCAATTACCCAAAACGTCGCCGATTGTCCGCAGCGTTATTCATAAATGTGTTGGAAAAGGGAAGCAGCGGCTATGTTAGCGAGACATTTAGCCTGTTAATGTAAATACATTTAACAAGGCAATGTAAATCAGAGTCGGAAATAACTTAACATTGGTAGGTAGGATGGAAGCATCACAGCCAGTTATCACTTACCTCGTTAATAACATCCTTCCAATGATTGCTCAGTTTGTACCCATCTTCTAGGTTGAAATTGTGTTCTGTTAATATATCTGGATGGTTTCATGAACAAATCTTTGTTGATAGCCAGTGGGTTTGCATAGTATCTTCGTCTTGGAGAATTCAATTTCACGTGTGCCCACAGCGCTAAAACAATGATCAGCCGCGGCAGAGGTATTAGTCCTACCGTGTTTCAGATCCGTCTTATGTTCGCGAACACGGTCTGAGACATGTCGCTTGGTTTCTCCAATGTAACTACTGCCCGCAGGCACAACATAGTTTGTAGACACCGGGGTATTGCACGTCAGGGATCACATCCTTCACAGATGGGATCAGATGATGAATTTTATGTACTGTGTTGAATCGAACCTGGATCTTGTGTTAGCTCATGATTGTGGAAATCTTTTTGGTGACCCCTGCTATGTATGGCAAGGTGATGTTTTTGATTGAGTCCTCGGGTGGTTTTCTCCCAACGTATTCTTGGTTCTTTTGGTAAAGTCACGTAGAAGGGAAAAAATAAAATAATAAAACTAAAACTATAAAATTATCACGACGGTTCGATTGTAACACAAGCAATCATCATCAGGTGTGAAAACCACTTTTTTCAAATTTTCTTGCTGTGGTTTTCACACCTAATGATGATTGCTCGCTTATTTCCCTTCTACGTGACTTTACCGAAAGAACCAAGAATATGAATCCCTGCAGTCACAAAAGCTTTACATCGAAATCTCTCCAAACGGTTGGGGTGACAGCTTTACGGATTGTGCAATCCGAATATCCATTCATCTTGAGGGCTTGGTGTACGTACTCCAGTTCACGGGCTAAGTGGTGATGGTCGAAAATGCAACGAGACCTGTGGTGTAAAGTTTGATGAGGGAATTCTTCTGGGCAGGATGATGGTGAGAGTCAGGTTTAAGATAGGCACCCGTGTGGGTGGCTTTCCTGTAGACAGTGTCCCAATGAGCCATCTGGTCTTTTTTTAAATCCTTTATATGAAGTTCACTTGCTTGCTTGCTTGCGCGCTTACAACCGTGCAAATCTTTCGGTCGTTTTTAACCCACTTCCCGTGATCCAATCGAGCTGACATTTTGCACACAGACTCGTTGTGCGTGACAATGTATTTTCGTTAAATTTTTCTTTCAAAATTTTACACTTTTTAGGAAATGTTTTTTTATATTTAATTACCAATTGCTTAATGGTGGCAGGCAATCATCTGACAGCCATCTCAAGCCAGAGGACGAGAGGACTCTAGCCGCCCGTTTCAAAGACCAATGTGGGCTGGGTTGTGGCCCATTGAACACGCATATAAAGGATTTATAGTGAAAAACTTTGTTTTTACGGGTTAATTTTTTTGATTATAATTGTGCTTGTGCACCACTGCCAACGCAGCAGCATCACCAAATAACCATGCAAAGATGGGGCTTTTGGTTTATAGAAGAATAAGAATCAGAAGAACTCTTACCTCAGCACACAGGTGGAAGTAGCAGAGAAGAATCGTGGTCTCGGAGCAGGTGATGAGCAGAATGATGAACACCAGGAAGAGGAATCCGAACATGTAGTACATCTGGTGGGACCTGCACAGACAAAGCACAATTCTCCTGTAAGCGCTGCATCATTAGGAGGACATTTACATCAAATCTCATAACGTGCCGCACGGAGAGAAAAGCCATTAAGATCATATTAAGCCATGATTGCGTAATATTGTGCCATATTTTGGTCTCTGAAAATGTGCTGAGGCAACCAAACTACCCGAGCATTAGCGCGGGCGTTGCAAAGACGTTTTGCATCGGGGCTTTTAACGCTAGACTCTGATGGGTTTTTTTCCAGAATTGGGAAGGCAATTTCAATAATAGGCAAATGCGATACTGAAATAAGCACTTTCCAGCATCGTATAAACACCTCCGTTGAAACGAGGTGTGTTTAAATTGTGTTAAAATTACCCCGTGTGCCCGACTGACTCGATGGTTAAGTGTTATTATCAAAAATAACGCACATTCGAAAGGCTTTTTCAGCCCTCCTACTAATGCAACACTAACTGTCCTGGGTGTGCCAATTCGAACGTGCTTTACAGTTGTGGCCCTCCAGTAGACGTCTTCAACTGTTCAGCAATCTCGTTGTAGACGGTTTAACACCTTTTGCGACCAATATTATCCATTAGAGGTTTTTTGGTTAGATCGCGCAAATATAAATGGGTCGTTAAACCCGCCAACACCCGACGACACAGCCAATGAGATTGGTTTGTCACGTAAACAAAACGTGACAATTCGTTGCTAGTTCAGCACACCGGTGTGTTGGAGAGTAAACCCACAACATTTACGTGACAAACCTTACTACAGTAGAACCTAGGAGGTCGAACGCACCAGAACTCGAACAAATCTGTGTTCAAACGATATTTCCGAACATTTTTTGCCCCGGAAACCGAACGAAATTCGGAGGTCGAACGGGCAATCGTGACTTGAAAGAAGCTATACGGCTGAGACGCGTATGGTCAGCGTGCATGACGCTTGCCCAGACAAAGGGGACTCCCCTTCCAAACAATAACACCACCTCCTCCTCCTCCTCACCACCTTCCACTCAAGACAACAACTCTCCTTACTACAGGTAAAGTGAAGTTCAATGTTCATTTATTTCATTTATTCCATATATGTATTCATTTATTCCATTTATTTATTGTGTTTCTTGTTTTTTTGTATGATTTTATGCATGTAATTACTGTAAACTTCGTGTAAAAATGCTTTATAAGGAGAGATTTCTTGTGTCTGGAACCAATTAATGTCATTTACATTAATTCTTATGGGGAAAATTAATTTGGTGTTCGAACGGCCTTCTGGAACAAATAAAGTTCGATCTCTGGGGTACCACTGTATTTGGCTGCATAAGGTGGTGGCGAATTTAACGACACATTTATATTTAGTTGTGGACGGCTCTCGCTTCGCTCATCTTTATCCCGATCTCCGCAGCGCAGCCGAGAGGAAGACCACGGCCAGAAAGGGGGGGCCCGATGCAATCAGCTCGAGTGCGAGACAACCCAACCCCCCGTGCATTCTTGCACCGTGAGACATGGCGATGGCTCGAGTGGATAGGTCCATGATTGCTGCCGACCAATAGAAAACATGTTTTTTTTTAAGAGTCGCTCAGCAGAGGCCCAGAATGTCAAGCCGCCAGCAACAGATTTACCAAAGTCGAAATAGATAAGCGTTCACACGCCTCTTGATTTAAACAAGGTCACGAGAGCTTCGGAAAAAGGGAAGACAGCAGGGAATTCCAAAGGGCAGCAGTGCGAAGGAAGGATAAGGACAAAGAGTCGCGTTGTGACCTGCAGTGTGGTGGTTGAACACGATGTGGAAGAGCCAACAGTCAACTCAAGTAGACCAAATCCTCAACACGGGTGGAGGAATCATTTAGTGACGTTGACAGGAACAGTAACCATGTTAGTAGCGATAGAAGAGCGACAAGGGGGCGACCGGAGTTGCTGATGGCGCCTCGCAAACAGCAGAGACATTTGCCAGTGACATTTGTTGGCACCCACCAGATGCTGTTGAGGATGAAGAAGAGCTGGATGAAGATGCATCCGAAGGGAAGAATTCCTCCCATGATGATGCCGGGCAAAGGCCGCGTGTAGAGGGACTGAGCAGGGATCTCGCGCGGAATCTGGTTGGTCCTCACTGGGCACTCAATGACCTGCGGGTACAAGAGGCAGCAGTGATTGTTTACTTGCTGCACCAGGGCGGATCTGCACAAACACAGGAATCCGCTCCGCATCCAGACGTCGTTAGCAGTTGAACGCTGGCACACTGCCTAAGGGTGACAACAAATACAATTCCAACACTTTCTGTAAGTGATGAGAAACTCCACGAAGAAGTGTGCAAGCAGGGTGGAAACAAATAAGATTTCATGAATAAATAAATGCACGATAAAGGGGAAGCTTTGAGTTGGAAGATTATTATGCTTGTTTACCCAGGAAAGCCTCACCGAGGGCCTTGCCAAGTTTTGGCAGCAGGGACCGATGTTGCTACGTACAATTCCGAAAAAAGTAATTTGCAGGTAATTTTTTTTATTTGCCAAAAATTGGACCACGACGCTGGCACTCAATGGGCTACTGTTGTGAATGACGCCAGGAGGCCTTCAACTTGTACTGTGAAGCAGACTGCGCATTATCCGTTAAGATCATACACGTGCAGTATTAACCAGGGCAGAATGCTGGATTCGAAAAATGTACCTCTGGAACAAGCGACGATTGTGCTACTGCTTGGCCATGCCAGCACCCAATAATACAGGGTGTTTCAAAGTTATGGACCCAATTTCAAAGCAGAATATTTCACGATGGCAAAATGCTACAATTACACAAAAAGTTACAAACGGTTTAATGAGTTATCACGTTTAACCAACCATTTTATAAAGGCTGTATGTGCCCTCCACGTGCTGTACGGACAACATCGAGACGATAGTTGAATTCGTCCCAAACGCCTCTCTTGTCACGTTTTCCTCTGAGGTGCGTGCTCGCCCTGTGCTCTTCCCCTTACATCAACAGCCTGTTCCCTCAAATTGTCGGTACCAACGACGAACGCTCTTTGACATTGGTGGATCAATGCCAAAACGCCGTTGAAACGCACGCTGCACCGCAATTACGGATTCAGTCTTGCTGAACTGCAGAACGCAAAACGCCTTGTGTTGTGGGGTTACCATCTTGCGAATGACTGAGGCTAGGGGCTGTTTGTGCACTGGGAGAGGCATCAGACGATAATCATTTGGAACTCTACGCCCCGCCCTTTCAAGTGGTAAGTTTCATTCATGGGCGGTTCGTGGTTGCAGAGATATAGCGATTTCAAATCAGGTCCATATTTTTGAGACACCGTGTATATTATATTATCCACCAGTACTGTGACATGATGCGACACCCAACACATGATGGAATCATGCATTTTGCTGTCTATGCAATTTGCCTTACGCGCGTATCATTACTCTCAGTTGAGCATTGGACACAGTGACAGGGCAGGAACATCTCAATAAGCTTTCCTTAAATTTCGATATAAAGCTTTCGTGACTGCAGGGATTCATATTCTTGGTTATTTCGGTAAAGTCACGTAGAAAGTAAATAATAAAATAATAAAAATAAAACTATTAAATTCTCACGACGTTTCGATTGCAACACAAGCAATTATCATCAGGTGTGAAAACCACGGCAAGATGATTGCTTGTGTTGCAATCGAAACGTCGTGAAAATTTTATTGTTTATTTTTATTATTCCCCTTCTACGTGACGTTCTCGAAAGAACCAAGAATATAGCTTTCCTTATCTCAGGTTTCATGTAAGCCGACTCAACACCACCACATTGTGATGTGTGATAACCAAAATAACCCACATCTGGTCAAAATCATCTTATGTTAGGCTTACTTTGAAGTTCACTTTATGTACTGATCACATGATTAAATGTACAGCACATTTCCAAATCCTATGCTGGATGAAGGCTTCCCCCTCGCGGTGTCTGTTATGGAGATTGTTTGACCAGATTTCACCACGCTGGTCAGTGTGGATTGACGAAGGGGGAATTCCCAGGACTGGTCCGATATCACTCAAGTCTGCTATCAGCTATTGGTCTAGAATTTAATTCGGGTTAATGGTTGATACCACTGCGCCACCACTCCAGCTTTAATGACCATATAATGCGATAGGTAATTATTAGGCATGTAATGATGCATTCAATTATCAATAAAAATTGATTATGACACTTGTGATCCATGCATTAATTTGTGCATGTGAAAATCTATTAATTACAGTTCATGCCAATTATGTGCTAATCATATATACCAATGTTACATTTAGGTTAATTGGGAACAAAAAACTGTGTAAATGAGACGCAGAGATAATTAACAATACAAACAAGACAGTGAAAATTAATAAATTCTTGAATCGAATAATGACCCCAAATTGCAACAATGTCTTGTCACTTCAACAGTGGTAATTCATCATTGTACGCCTAAAAAGAATGGGAATTAACGAAAAACAAACAGAAAAATCAGCCAATACGTACGGTGCCGAGTGCAATTTCTGTATATTTTATATTGCACTAAATTGTATTCATGGGGCATCAACTGAAGCTTGATGGCAAAATTCCCCATTCACCGACACAGCTCTCCCTTTAGGAAACAATCTCAAGTCTCAGTGGCCCCTCGGCTGACTTTTAAATAACCTCCTGCGAGCAATTGAGAAGACTAAAACGCGACCGCAATGACACCTGCTCCCGACAACACCCCGCACATCTCTCGCCGAAATATTCCGAGACTGCAGATGCCCACTTGTGCTCGATGCTAAAAAAAAACAACAACACATCTCGCACCTTGGGACCCGGCAGCCGTAAAGTGGCAAATTAAAAACTGCTTTACTCAATATCGAGAGTGCCAGCGGCCCAATGAGTGCACAGCGTGGTGCGGCGCCATTTACACCCCTGCGCGGCTCAGCGTGGCGGCGCAACGGTTTGCCTCTCCCGTTTATCAATAAAATAAACAGACGAGGAAATAAATAACACGCGCGGGGGAGATGCGACGGTGCCGACAATCTTTCGGAAAGGTTACCGCCCGCGCCGCGCGTGCACGGGCAGGCGCCATGCGTCCGCATAAATTGCTCCGGAAGCCGCGCTTACCGGTGCCGGCCGATGCAACGCGATGCTTTTTTTTTTTTTTACCGCCGTGCGTCACAAAGACGCCGATTGATTTTTTTTCTTCCCCGTATCCTGCAAAACTCGGCGACCGTTTTTCACGCTCAATAGAGGTGGGGGGGGGGGAGAAAAAAGGTGGAGGGGAGAGGTGGCGTGATGGATAAAAATCTATACGGGGCCCCTTGTGTGCGTGTGAGCGGAGCGAGAGGAGAAAGGGATATCCCAGCAGGTCGCGTACACGTGCCGCATTTAAAGCTCTTTCATCAATCCACTGCTGGATGAGGACATCTCCCACGTGAGAGGTTTTGTTTACTCTGCTTCGCCCTGGTCAGCGCGGCTTGGTGAGGGTGGGGAGCAAAGATGTCAAAGCATTGCAGTAGAGTACAACACTGGATTTTGCTGCACTGCCCAGTGTAGGCCTGCAACTCCGATGACAATATGTCAGTGTGGAGCAGCCACATTCGAGCACTCTCCAGGCTCAAGCACTGAAGGCGGTTTGGTGGAGAGATGTAAATTACGTCGCCTGGTATACAGGAGGGTTCAATCCCAACCCTGACGCCTGTTTACGTGACAAACCTTACTAATTGGGTGTTTTGGGTGGTGATGGGTTTAACGACACATTTATATATTTACGCGACCTAACCTAAAAAATAAACCTGTATTATGGATGATACTGGTCGCGAAAGCCGACGTGTTAAACTGTATATTTGGAGTTTGCCCATTCTCCCAGTAGTGATGGATTTTTCTCAGGTGCTCCAGTTTTTCCCTCCACATTTACAAACATGCGTCTAAAAAATTTGGCAGCTATAAATTTCCACGTGACAAGCCACTTGATCGAGCTATCATTTGTGGCCAGGTCACTTCTTAAAAAGAGCGATATAGCTCAGTGGGCCTTACCTGGTAAAATACAAATAGTTTAGTTCGGTGAATATTTTTTAGTAGACTCCCATTCACGGCTGACATCACCTGGCAAATATCTAAACCGGTCCTGGGCCTCCTTTAGGTCGACTCAACCTGGTAAAATAAAAATAGTTTTGCTTGAGTTAAACCGTGCTTGGCTCACGAGATCCGACTTTGTTTGACGCATGGCAGGCTATCCTGTCAGAGGTCATGGGCTCTCGGATTTAGTAAAAAGTAACATCTAGACCAGTGGTTCCCAACCTGTGGTCCAATAAATCATTGGTGGTCCATGACACCATGGAAAGTGGTCCGAGGAACGGTCGCAGGTCCTACAATTTAGAGTCGTAAAGATTTACATGAAAAAAAAAAGTTATCGGTGTGCGCTGCTCTGTACCGACAGGTCACAGACAGGGGCCAGTAAGGGTCGGGAACCACCGCTGCGGACGGCAGTCGCATCCATCGTCCTACCTCCTTCTTGAAGCCGACAAAAGCGCCGAGGAAGGTGAGCGGCACGGAGATGCAGAACCAGAGCGCGAGGATGGCGACGAGCGTGCCGAACGGGATGGCGGCGGAGGAGCCCTCGCCCCACAGGATGAGGTTCATGGTGAAGAAGTCGACGAACACGAGGCTGCGGGCACACAGCGGCCGGCGTTAGATACAGCGTGGGCTACGTTTCCGTTTGCAGCAAATGTCGTTTTTTTATTGTGTCGAGCGAAAGCAAAGCGGCAAATGCACAATTGTTCAACTCGTCGCATCACGCGTACGTTTGGCATAAGCACCTTTATTATAAAGGCAGCAAGGGGATTACGAGCGGAAGGCGGTGCATTTGACAATGTCTGCAGTAGTTCCGATGGAACAGGCGATAATTGGCGTCTGTTAGCGGAATGCTTTGGGTCGGGTAGCCGCCGGTGCGCCATGGGTCACCACCCGCACAGCAGGTCACGTTCGGGTCGGAACACAGCCCCTCTTAACAGCTGTTAATGGTTGCGGGTCGGTCGGGTCAAGTTCATCGCGAGTCATTTGCGGATCACCCAAGATTTTACTGTTTGTGAAATTGGAGGGTGGGCGCTCCCGCGCGAGGTCCGGACTGAGCCGCACACTCGCTCGGGTGAGAGACTACGCTAGTCTGGGTAAGCCGAATTGTTTCTTACTTTGTGACAAATAAACACCAAAAAAATTACATAATTTTCTTGCTTTCGCACATGAACAAAACCCAACCAAGCCATCGGGAAAAAGTCGGATGTCGTTACAGTATAAACTGTGGGACCCAACGCTTGCAACATTTGCAACAAACGGCAAATGCGCTACCGCTAGGTTCGTTGTCAATCGTGGCACTTGAAGATTGCGGAATGTTCAACCACTCTGATGTACTTGTCTTTTCATGCAGAGCAACATGAGGTGCCAGGTGTTTCGTAGGGATTTACCTTGGGCAGAGGAAAGCAGTGAGGATCACACTGGTCTTCCAACGTTCCCCTCCAAGTGCTGCAAAGAAAAAGAAGTGCGTGCATTTTTGTTGTAAACGCCCTCTACAACTTTACCAATGTCCCACCGTGTCAATTCATTTTCGCCGGGTTTAGAAAGTAAAAAAAAATCCCCAAAACAAAGCGCTTCACGAATTAAGCTCCTGTATCAAAACGCAAAACTAGCAACTCTCTTAATTCTATGGAGCTGATGGCAGTGACCTCTCCCTTCCGTCACACTCTACAGTTTCCCACCAACAACGTCTCTCGATCCAGCAACAAAGGCCTCTTGTCAAAACCTCGAGTTAACCTCCACTCAAAGAGAGGTCGCTCCTTCTCCTGTGCTGCTCCACATTGTCTGGAACTACCCTTCTGGTAAATCCACCCTGCCAGGACTCTTTCCTTGATGAAGTCCAAGACCCTCCCCTTCTGCCTGCGACTGACCTGCTCTCCTTCATAGGTTTCTTGGGTTAAATCGTGTAAATCCCTCTATTTAATAATAATGCACTAATTTAATAATAATGCAATTTTATTGCAATGGTAATTATCACTGACAGTAAATACTAGTTTTGTCAGGAGGGTCCTGCATTGGCGATTAATATGTCAGCAACATTTCATAATTTTTTACTTTTAATACAAATTAGTTTACGTAACAATACATTTCATCATTGAAAGGTTTGTTGGTTACTCGATATCTACTCAACAGGTAAATATTAATACGCCAATTTAAAACTGTTCATCCGGGAATATTTTGAAAACGTAATACTTTTCAGGGCACCAAGGAATAAAGTGCCAGTCCCAACCCATAGCTACTTTATCTCTCTGGCCCCTCTAGTTACGTGCTATACAGAAGGGCCGTTAGCCGTAAGGTGTCCTGTGATACATTATCATTGTTTTAAGGCCCCAGTGTTATTGACAAATGTGTTGAGTTTTTTTTGCTTTTGAACCACTGCCTACGCAGTGTCACCAACTAACTTGTAACATTGAGGTTCACCGCAAGAGTCTAAAATACACGAGATAAAAAGTGTGGGCTGAGCCGATGCTAATGGGACAGCAGCAAATGTATACTTAAAATGTTCGCACGGTGAACTTCAATATTTTCTTAAGACCAGTCAGCCAAAACATTAAGAGGGTTATTTCCTGTCAGTGACATTCAAAGTTCCCTGTTATTATTTTTAATTTATCTGTTATTCATTGTACAAGTGCGCTGAAGTAGCAACTATGACTTTTTAACTTCAGTCGTTGGGAGACCTAATTAGGGAGAAGAAGCATTCCAACCGAAAAATTCTTCTTGAGAGAAAGTTTAGAGTTCAGCCCCAATCAGCTGTCAGCAACTGAGTTTTCAATAAAAACTAAACACATTCATCACTAATACTTTCACCACTATGTTGTGGATGAGTATGCCAACATTGAGAGTGATCGCCTTCTTGACATTTAACTCAATCAAAAAACGCCTGTGTGTAGAACAGACTGCTCATCTCAGGAACGCTATCAATGCTGGCGGAGATGCAAACGCTCAGAATGTGGGGTTATTTTGCCTTCATCTTTCACAGGTGGACCTGTCTCCATACTACTCCTCTACAGATGCACAAAGAGAAGCCTACACGAAAATCTTGGAAGACATCTAGTCTAAAAATGGGAGGAATAATTTTCCTAAACCGATCGTGGGACTCCTGGAAGTCGACTCAACTTTCAACGAGTACCTTGCGCAGTGCGTCAGTATCAGCACCGACCGTCTTAGGTGCTCGCTAACAGCTCTGTAATGGGGAAGGTAGAAGGGTGGTGGCGGCGGTGGGGGAGAGGGGGGTTCTATGTGATTGGGGAACCGCCCAGAATGTGGTGGAGTACTCACACTTGTACATGCGTGCCGCCACGTATCCCGCTGGCAGGCCCAGGAGGACCCACAGCACCATCGCGCAGGTCATGAGCGCACCGCGGTTGGCCGGGGAGAGGAAGCCCATGCAGGCGAAGACTGCACGGCACACACCCGCACCACAGCAAGACAACAATGCCGAGCGGAGAATGCCTCTACAATCCAACGAGACGGATTAGTCGACAATTTTTAATTTAAACAGTTACAATACTCGTATCGAATCTTTCGCGCGAGATGCGACACGAGCGCAACTGCGTTCGGGATTTCCGCAAAGGTAAAGGCACGGCCCTGCAATAGCTTGCTCGAGCCACTGCTGCCAGAAAGGCCTCCACTAGAGCGAGCCCCAGAAGGAATTTCTTCAACTCTTACACGTCGTCCAGACGTGTTTGAAAAGGTGGGTACACCCACACTTTACCCAATGGCACATGACCTGCCATTCGCTATGAACCCATTCGCACGCTGCTGGGTGGGCAGAGGTTGCGTGGGGAATTTAATAAATTTGGCCCATTGCTCCTACTGTCGCTCCATTAGATCAGAGTCGAACCAGCGACCTCTGGATTGCCAGTCTAATGTGTTAACCGTTCCACCACGGCAGCTCCCTGTGTAGTTGCAGGAAATAAGCGCAGATGAAAAACGTACTTTGCATGTAACGATGCATCAATTCATCGATTGTTATACTAGTGACACGCGCATCCAATTGTGCGTGAGGAGCAATTCTATTCCTGTATGCCCTTTGTATTTGGTTCGCATTACCCCTGCAGCCACTTAAGACGCTGCAATGCCGTACAAAGCGAAATAAAACGATTCAAGAATCAAACTCTGACATAGTATAGAGGGCCGTGAATCACCATAAACAAACACATAATCCAACTCTTTAATCTTCCCCGAGGAAGGGAGAGGGGGGATCTATAAGCTGGCCCAACTTGGGAAACAGGTTTAACCAGCTCCATTTGCAACCAGACCGGCCAGTCTAACCACTTCATGTTGACTCAAAAGTAGTTAAAGGTCACACACACACATGGGTTTGCATACTTGGCTGAATGAAAATGTCTGCATTGGGAATGATGCAATGGTCATTCTTCAGAGCTCTGAACGAGAGCCTCTCTGTTCAGGAGGGCCATTGCCCAAATGTTTGCAGATGTCAAACAAATTCTGAACAAGGGCTTCCTTACACACCGTGCGGGTCATAGGTTTCATTTGACCACAATTTACCATGCTGGTCGGTGTGGGTTGGTAAAGGCTGGTAGCATAAATGTGGATCCATAGATGTAGAGTAACACAATTGATTTTGCTGCACCGCTCTCTACAGCCCACAACGTACTAGGCTCAAACCTGCTTAGAGCCTTGGAAATGTAACGCATTATTGGTCATTTGGTCAGAGGCTAGTCACCTCTAAGTCACACAAAGTGTGGCCACACAAAGTGTGGCTGAGAGGTGACTTATTAGGATCTCAGAAGAAGCTCTGTGATATCCGCTTCAGCGCGCTGTTCGTAGCACTGGTCTGTCAGAGATCCAAACAGATACTCTCTTTACCGACATGATGCCGACAGACACAACTGGGACAAAATTGCGGTAAAATTACTTTGTTCTTTTTCCATCAGTCATAAGTCAGTGTTAATGACGAGAGGCGTGGTGGCTGTCGGAGGGAGGAGATATTTTCATTCTGCCTCGACAGCAGTGGCCAGTGAAGTGCGGCACGCGTACACAAAGTGATGAAGGTCATGATGAAGATCTGCGTGCCGGAGCCCAGGAAGACAGCCAGGAGCATGCTGGCTTTGGGAGGGCGAAAAACATCACCATGGACCAGCTTCCAGCCGTACTCCTCTTGCACCTCCTCCTAGAAAAAGAAAAAAAAGAATCAAAAGTTATTTCCGACTCCAATGAGCATCGAAGCGGTGCTGGTCTCCCCCAATTACAACGGTGAGCCAGTGGTGTAAAATTCCTCATTCCGATTGTGGCGACCAATATTTCCACAGGAGAACCGCATGAAGTAGTACTAATTTTATCAACCACAAAATGATATATGATGGGCCGAGTCAAACTCTCGCCCCCCCCACCAGCCCCCCCCACCAACCCCCAAAACCAGAATTTGAATTCGCAACCTCCCCATCTCGTGGCGCTTTGCTCTACAATGACCGTTATCTTCCTCGAAAAGAAGATTTGATTTAAGCTTGTCACTAATCACCTCACCCTGACCCCTTGCCCAACGACACCCACCCTCACCTCACCACCCAGCAATCTGATGAATTGAGGGAGTGTCCTGGCAAAAAATAACCCACTATCTCACTGTCCACAAAGTATGGTTTTGTTGAGAGTAGGCGGATTAAGAGGGTGACAAAAATGAATCGTTAAGTTCAATGTGTGCCCATCTGTTGGGAGATGATACAAAAAAAAGGATATTATTATTACTTTGCTTGTTTGCCCAGGAAAGTCCCAATGTATCTACAGACAATTTTTCATGAGGGTCCTGCCGAGGTTTAAAAAGGAAGGGGGCAATGCTGCGCAAATTTGCAGGCACCATTTCAAAGCTTCCGTGGGCTGATTGCAGCGGCAGCACACACGGTGCAAACAAAGGCGGCAGCTCTAAGATGGCTACGCCCAACCCGTGACACTGGGCACTGCTGCCATGGCGAGGTGACGCCATCAGAATATATATTTTTTATTACTTAGAATATTTATCGTTTAAAAAAAATGTACTTTACAATTTTTTTTCGTGTAACTGTCAAACAGGGAGCGTAAGTGTGACGTAAGTCCCGAAAAGAGTAATCGCGTAACTGCAAAATTGCGCTAATGGCTGGAGGGGAGGCATTACGCGAGGAATGCCTGGACAGTGCATGTTTTTTTTTACTTTGAGAGGTAACCAGAGAACTCAGAGAGAGTCCATGTGTAACAGAGGGAGAACATTCAAGCTGTACACAAAAAAGATGCCGAGTCACGAATCAAACCCAGGCCATTCTTGCTGCGAGGCACAGGTGTTACAGCTGTGCCACCTTGCTCCCCACCTTGTATAAAGTTAATTTCATAACGTTCCAACGAAGCTAGCATGTGCATTTCAAGCCACTGCTGGATGACGGCCTACACACGCTGTGCGGGTCGTGGAGGTTATTTCGACCATACGCTGGTCAGTAGGGGGTTGTGAAGGCCAGAGGCATGGGAGCAAAGTAGTATAGCACAACATTTTAATGTATGTTCAGCACCGTCCTCGCCTCTATTTAAGACTGAAACAGGAAGAAGTCTTTCACAATTCTGACTAATCGCCTGATGAAGCTAGTTTAATCACCAGAAAAACGTCGTACTTGAATTATAAATGTTGTGGGTTGACTCTCCAACACACCCGCGTATGCTAAGGTATCAAATAATTGGCACGTTATTTTACGTGACAAACCGTAGTAATTGCCTGTCGGGTGTTGCCGGGTTTAACGACATATTAACATTTACGAGATCTAACGCAATAACACTTAAAAAAAAAACAGGTTGTTTTAAGCGTCATGGCTATCTTGTGGGCAGCAGAGGGCAGTTTAACATGTAGGCTTTCGCGACCAAATATTATTTACTATGATAATGAGCCAATAATGTCTGTGTCCCGCGCGTGACGTCACTCCACGTCGGCCAGCCCCCCTCATTAATAATCATGAACAGGTGACGTCCTCCACATGGACCCCCCCCCCTCATTAATAATCATGAGCAGGTGACGTCTTCCAAATGGACACCCCCCCATTAATATGAATTAGCGGGTGACATCACTCCACATGGGGGGGGCGAGGCGCCTCCTCCCCCCTCCTCAGCGTCAACTTACAACCCTCACTACAAAGGCAGAACCCTCACATCACGCGATCTACGTGACGCTATTGAGACATAGAAGTAAAAAGGACGTCATGATGAACAGGGGATTATAACCTCTAAATGAAATAAGTCTGTGTCACCGCGGCCTAACAAATTGCACACGAATGGATGCAATGAATATCATGTCGCGTTCTGCTTTTCGCTTGCAAGTTTCAGATTTATATTAGGCGAGTGCCTAATATCAATCCAATCAAAATCCAATCGTACGCAGCCAACCGTGCGAATCGGAGGTGCTATGCAAGCGAAAATGCAAGCTGGACAGCTCACAGACGCAAGGTCGGTAGCAATGTCAATCATTACCCTGAAAAGGCCTCTCCACTGTATACAAACTCGTTTTAAGGAAGAGGATAACACTCAAAAGGTCCACTTGCCATACTGCCATTTCCTGGCTACCTCGCTGCTCAGCGAGTTTGGGAGTTTAGCACCTTCACACTTGATTTCACCAACTCTTTTGCCTCCAAAGCACTGGATCACAGGTGAGTCACGACACCCAGCCCATTGTCATCGTCGTCGTCACCACCGTCGTCATCACCGTCGTCGTCATCACCGTCGTCATCACCACCGTCGTCATCACCACCGTCGTCATCACCACCGTCGTCATCACCACCGTCGTCGTCACCGCCGTCGTCACCGCCGTCGTCACCGCCGTCGTCACCGCCGTCGTCACCGCCGTCGTCACCGCCGTCGTCACCGCCGTCGTCACCGCCGTCGTCACCACCGTCGTCACCACCGTCGTCACCACCGTCGTCACCACCGTCGTCACCACCGTCGTCACCACCGTCGTCACCACCGTCGTCACCACCGTCGTCACCACCGTCGTCACCACCGTCGTCACCACCGTCGTCGTCATCACCGTCGTCATTTTTTATATCCGCGCGGTTGTGTTGCATCGAAATGCTCATCTCAGCCTCTTGCATCCAATAAAGCACCTCTGCCAGGTGTGACTCAACTTGGGTCAAGGTCTCTCTCACAAGCACACGTTGAGAAGGGGGGGGGGGGCTCATCAGTGTTGCACGCGAGCTGAAGGAGGAATTACGAAAACTGAACGGATGTGTTATTGGCCAACCGCCCCAGTGAGCTGGGCAAAAGAGATGAAAGCACCATAATAGCAGCACTTATCCTCACCATCTGCTAAGCCTTTCAAATAGGGGGCACTTCATCTGATTAGCGGCATTACAAATCCAAAGAAGCTGGAAGTAGCTCGGCTACACAGGTGTCTAAGGCGCCGTGTGCCAGAGTAATGAGCACGCAGCACCGAGAAGCCACCGTAGGATGTACAAGGCTGCACTCTCAGCTTTTATGATCGAGGTCTGGTGTCTCCATGAATGTAAAATAAATGAAAGGGAAAAAAGGTAATTGTGCTGTTTGGTGCATTAGTCAAAGTCAACTGATTACAATACACATGGATTAATTTTGCAGTCCAGTGGAGGGCACTCTAGAGATTGAGCAATTGAAGCATGCCAGTGGGTTTTCTGGCTCCCACACTGTAATCAGTGCTATGGAAATGGTTACATTGAATGAACGGTTGGTGCTGCTGTGAAATGTCCAGCATACACAGCTATGCAAGAAGAATATCCACAGCACACCACATCGTACAAAAAACAAACTTGATGCACGCAAACGCAAATATTACGAATAACGTGCTTCAAGTGACAAAACGCACCGTGTTGCCTGAGAATGAACTGTGCTGAATGACAGTTTTTTTTACGAGCAAGCTTAAATTTACTGCTAATTTTAGAGCAATGTACAACACATTTGGGTTGTCGTGACACTGCGGAAAAGGTGACAAACAGCTAGAGTTGAAATTCAGATGCCAAGAACATCTCTCTCCCACTTGCCACCACCTCTTCGGCAAAGAAATCCCACAGAGACCCATTTACAATTCTACTGAGAAGCCAACATTTATTGCACCCAATCCGCCAGAGCCTGCATTGTGAAGCCGAAACTAGTGTGCACATCCAAATGTAGTGCCCCCTGCCGTGCACTTAAGGGACGCTTTGTATAACGCACACCAACGTGACGTTGCTCTCTCAGCGACGCAAAAATGTACGGAGCTGCAGTGTAGGAAGGCAGGACTGGCGTTTCGCTCGCACACCGAAAAATATAAAATTCCTGAGGCTGACCGCGTCCGATCGAACCCGATCGTTTTCACACAGACGAGGGAACTAGAAGAAGATTAAACGAGGGACAACTCGGGAGGTGGCAGCGATGCATTGAGGCGGCGAGCGCAGGCGTGAGAGAACCAAGGAATGTTCGGAAGAGAGGAGGAAGGCGATGCGAGTACTCACAGCCGACTCCGCCTGGTTGTAGCGGGCGATGTCGCGATGCAGTGTTCGCAGCATGATCATGGCCACCATACCGGACAGGAACAGCACGATCACCAGCGAGTTCATGATGCTGCCGGGACAAAAAATGGGCGAGGGCATAAGCACAAACTTGATTTGAAGCTTTCGTGACTGCAGGAATCCATACTCTTTGGTACTTTCGGTAAAGTCGCGTAGGTAGAAATAAAATAAAATAAATCACGACGTTTCGATCGCAACACAAGAAACCGTCATCAGGCGGAACCGATACAGCACAATTGCAGTTGTCCTGCTGTATCGATTCCGCCTGATGACGGTCGCTTGTGTTGCGATCGAAACGTCGTGATTTATTTTATTTTATTTCTACCTACGTGACTTTACCGAAAGAACCAAAGAGTATGGCGTAAGCACACTTGTTGCGCGACCCAACCAGTCCAGACTTCCCAGTACAGCCAGGGACAATCGTTTTGCGACTGTCCCATTGCTTGTTTTGTTCTCCACAATGTTACGACGATTGTGTTGGCGGGTATCATGTCATTAGACATGCATTCTTACGTAACTCTCGCAAAACAGTGGATCCCTTTTGTGTAAGAGAATGGCGCACAAAAGCGGATATCACGAAACTGCTTCTCAGATCCCTTCAAGTGGACTCTGGTCCACAAAGCTTGACAGTGAAACTGGTACTGCGAATTTTCCAGGGTCAGAATATTGGCAATGAAGTGCGGAGAAACATTTTACGTGATAGATTTTGTGAGCCCATTGTTGACTGGGCCAAGACCATCAAGCCCACTGCACGAGAGAACCCGGTTTGGTCAAAGGCAGCGGTCAGGATTCGAACCCAGGTTCTCGGCGGTGCCAGTGCATCGCCATGATCTCCAAACCACCTCTTGTCTCAATGTTGTTGTTGTTTTTACAGTATTTAAACACGGGACAAATAAAGCAATCTAACGCGAACACACGCCACAACAAAATTTACCAAATCGTGTCTTTGTAAGAAAAGATGATTTAGCATTCTTAAACGATGTATGCGATTTGCTCACCAATACCCAGTAAGAAAGTTAATTTTACACATACTACGAGGCCAACTCTTTGTTTATGAACCAAACGACAACAAATCTTGACAAGTCATCGAATTATGCAGTGGCTGAATGGTTATGCGATTATAAACCCCACGAAAATTTGATTTGGATGTATTGAGCGAAACACAAGTTTACGCTGAGAATTCCGCAAGACTACCCGTGTGCGCGTCTTCAATCTTTCGTTTCGCAGAGGCTGCATGATCCACGGTGACGAGTCTACCGGCAGATTCGTTTGGCCCTTGTAAGGGCCGTTCATACTCAAACCATCGTTGTCTTCCCTCACCAAGAGGTCGTTTTAGTGACGTTCAGTTGCTGATGATTTGTTGTTTTGTTTTACACTTGAGGAGACGACCTACATGCATGCCGTGTCATCTTCCCCACATCCCCCCCACCATGTCTGCTCTATGCAAAAGGCTCTCACCTGAACCACTGAATATTTGTATGCGGCATGGACTCCAGGATGTAGTCCCATCGTGATGCCCAACGGATGTTGTCGTTTTTCTAAAACAAAAAAAATCAGTTATTTCAGAATGTTTCTTATGAAGAATCACCTGGAATGAACCCAATCTGGTGAGATCTCAGAAGCAAAGCGAAGTTGTATGTGTGTTGAACTTGTTTTGCCTGGAAGGTGCTTGGATGGGCAACCACAACCAGGCGTTAAGAGCTACGGGCGATATATTCGGGGCAGCATAAGTTAGTGCAGCAAAATCCATTGCTGTGACATACTTCTATGCTCCCAAGTCTGTTCCCTGTCTCTAAATTGCAAGCAAAATGCACAAAATACCAACAATCATGAACCTGATGAAGGCAATTAGTAGAGTTTTGATTTACTTATTGGCTCGCGTTGACTACATTAGCTCCGTGTTGTTTCACCAAAAAAAAAGAACAAGCTGCTATGTATTCACTGCATAAGGGTATCACATCAATTCACTCAATTGGGATAAAACATCTCGATCATCCCTCCATACGGATAGACTCATGCACATTTGCAAGTCAGATCACATTGTGCCCACAGGGACAGCTGCCACATGTGTTTAGTTACCTTTGTCTCCAAAATGCTGACGATTACACACCATATCAGGTTCTAATTGAAGGCTGCGCCGATGCTGGCCAAGAGCGGGAATCGAACGCAGATAGCCAGGTTTGTAGTGCAGTGTGCTAACCACAACACTACTACTCCCCAGTCAGTGTTACACATTACACTATAACCTTAATTAAATGAAAGCAATCAAGATAAAATGATGCCGATCTAAAACTGACAATGAATTCTATAAAAACCACACACATGGGGCACTTCTCTTCCCACCCATTATTGCAATCTGTGCACAAGTGACATGCAATCAAACATAACACCTTTACACAAATCTGCCCGAGTACATTGGCCAATTTGTTCGTTTTGTTTTCAATTAATTTTAATCATCCCCAACCGCAAATCAAAGCGACAAACAAAAGGAGCAGTCACCTGGAAGGTGATGGAATATGTGTAGGTAATCTTGACATCTTCCTTAAATTCAACAGGGATATCCATGGGATCTGAAGATGTGCAGTCGGGTTTCCCAGTCGCATGCTTGAAACTGTAAAAACAATATAATATTTAATAAATAATATATACACCGTCAACGAACCAATTGTACAGCCGTCATAGGAGAATTCTTTCAGACAGTACGTAGGTAACCGTGCTAATCAGAAGTACGGGAGGACAACCAAAAACAAAAGCAGTTCTAAAGAAATTAGTTATCAATCTGGATCTAAAAGTGCATAGCTCCAGTGGCTTCCTAATATCAGAAGGAACAGCATTCCAGACGGACGCAGCACATTTGAAAGCACACAATGCGGTGATAGTCTTTGTTCAATGGCCAGCCAAAAGCCGCTGCGAGGATGACTGGAGTTCGCGTGATGGTTTATGCTCCTTGACGAGATCGGCAAGTTATTTGGTTAATTTGTGGCAAGCACATTATGTGTAATGAGTGCAACCTTAAAATATATTCGTTCGGCAACCGGAAGCCAATGTAGCTTGGCGAGCACTGGACAGACACGGTCAGATCTTGCAGGACCCATCACGACACGTGCCAGAAAATATTGTACACCCTGCAGCTTGGTAATGTTTTTTGCCAGACATCCTGTAGTGAGTTGCAATAATTCAGCCTTGTAAATACTATGCTACAGGCCACTGTATTTGCTAAGTCACAACTCAAGTGGTAAAATGTGCTGTAGAGCCGATATAAAATGGCACGGGAAACATAATAATAATAGGGCCACACCCAATCCAAGGACTCTTTTTTAGTAGGGTCCCACAGCTTTGAGTTGGGTTCGTGCGTCGCACTAACGCCTCCCACCCACACCACCCACGCCTCCACCCTGGGCTGTATATCCCACGCAAACGCACGGGCAGTGCAAGACTAAAATGAAAAACATCTGACCTTCTGGGCTCCAGCTTTGCAGTAACCAGCCTGGACTCTTGTGAATGCTCAGCATCGCCACTGTGATAGAGGATTGTGATGTCCACGTGATTGAAGATGTAGTAAGTATTGGGCTTGTTGAAAGCTTCCTGTCACACCGAGAAAAAGAAGCCGTGGAGAAATATAAATAAGCGTCCGATTCAAATTATTCGAACGAAAATTGCACGAAAGAAAAATGGAAAAATATATATTCAAGGAAATAGTACTGCGGATGTTCGCTTTGGACTGATGTGAGATTTAAACTTTGCATTGTCACAAGATGAAGAACCCATTCGGATCTCTCGCAAAACAGCAGCAGAACCCTTCGTGTGATGAGAATGGCCCACAAAAGTGTATATCACAGATCTACTTACAGAGAAACCTTCTCAAGTGATCTCTGGTCCACACAGGAGCACCTTCCTACCTTTCCACTGAATTTAATGTTCATCGCATGATAAGCGTCACACTGATATTTAAATCGCATCACTGGAATATAACCAAATTAAGTGTAGAACCAAATGTATTTATGATTTTATTTTTGTGTGTGTGTGCGCACTATGTATGTATGTATGTCGAAAGTATTTCGCACCGTACGTAGCCAACCGCTCTAATAGGAAGTGCGGGGGACAACAAACTAAACACAAAAATCAGTTCGAAAGAAATGAGTTTTTCAATCTACATTTAAAAGTGCTCCAGTGGCTTCCTAATATCGGAAGAACGTTCTAGACGGCCACAGAAGCGCACCTGAAAGCACGCGATGCAGTGACCATCTTTGTTGGATTTGTTACCCAAAATGTTCGATGGTTAGCATCATTGGTGCCACCTCAAGGGACCGGGGCCCAATGACAGGTGGCAGTCAGGTTTCAGAAACAGGAACTCACACCTATGCAAACTCATCTATCCCACCCTGAACTGGGTCATCATACTTACGTTGATGACGCAGGCATCCCTTTGTTCACCTTCCGCCGACACGAGGCAGCCCACGGGGAAACCTGGATTGCAAAACTTCTTTGCGCCCTCCACTTCGTAGCACCACGTAACTGGCATGTTGTCTATGATCCTGCAAAGGGAGCCAATGTGAAGCATCTTTCAACACCTTGCTTAGCCATGCTGAGTTTTACTTGTTCGTATTTTCAGCGCTGTTGGGCTGGTACTGGACAACTTGATCTGTCATTAACGTGTCAGGATAATGGTACTTCTTCAAAGCACATAGAGGCCAGAGAAATAGAGTGGACGAGAAGGGTTGGAGACTACTTTACACCATGGGGCCAGATGAGAATTACTTTAAAACAAACATTTCTGATGTCCAGCTTTTAAAAAGGTACATGCATAGTTAAACAACCCATACCTTTGTGGTCAGAGACAAATACTTAAATGTTCAAAGAAGTATTCCTAAAATAAAATCATTTGTATGAAAAGTAAACGTTTACAATGTCGCTGGCACAGATCACTGTGGTAATATTTGTTCTTGTGAGGACTTAGTACCGAATAAATATCTGAATTATCATTAGTTACTATCAGCTCTTGCCAATCTGCTGCTGGATTAGGGATTTCCCCAAACTGCGTAATCTACGGGGGTTGCGAGACCATATTTCACCATGCTAGTCTATGCACAAAGACGACAAGAACCCGCACTGACCAAAGTGGCGAAGTATGGTAAAAAAAAGCCTTGCGACTCACCAAAGAATGGTAAGGCCTTCATACAGCAGTGGAATGACAAATGTGTGATACGTGTTCAAGTTAAGTATTACAATGCCTTTAAATGCTTTTCAGTCATGGGAGCTGTTTTTATTATACTTCACCATGATGGTCAGTGGTAGGTCAGTGAAGGTAGGGGTCAGGACTGGTTCAGATATCACTTGCCAATCATATTAGCCGTCACCGGTAATCCAACACAGGTGGCCAGTTCATACCACAGCGTGCGAACCGAACCTTCTGGGTCCAGCTGCCACCCTTGGCTATTTGGATTTGATAAATTAGTTTTGTTGAAAATATTATAGTCTAATTTGAATTACAGAGTATAAACAAAACATCTCTTTGTACAGTTTTGTCAGTTCCAATAGGATACCTTATTTACTGCATATGAGAGAGTAAAAACGAGACGGGTAGTACAAATTAGTTAAAGAGATGGGACAATATGAATACAGACAAGACAAAAATAATCAACTCTAACATTGAATCAGGAGCGGCCGAATTGCGACAAATCATTTAATCACTTGTAGGGCAGGGTGGGGAGGGGGGTGAATTATTCTATGGATAATTGTAAAAAACTGGAAAATTAAGACAGTAGTGTTGTTTAGCAAGATGGTGAAACTCCCAGGTGCACCAGTCGGTTGGGATATGCATAGCGACGCACGTCACAAAGGAATGCAACGCCCTCTCGCTCAGACAATGGCCAGAGAGCTCACCAGTGGTTCTGGTAGTTGAGTTGCATGGCTCTCTTCAGAAAGTCCAGCTTTGCTTGGTCTTCTGTGTTTTTAACGCTGTAGACCTTAGTGTCGCACACCTTTCTCGCACGTTTTCTCAGCTTTGAAGGAGATCTGATCGCACGGTCGTAAAATGAAATAACATAACAAAATGCCACTGTGGTCTTTTTTTCGACGCTCTGCTGCTGAAGGCCATGACACGCTCGCGACATTTTAGGGCAATCATCAGCTATCGCTACCTCCAATAGTTGCCACGCCATCTTCTGTCACAAATAAAACTAGATGCCCAATTGTTTTGAAATAGACCGATCAATTATGCCACTTACGGGGAAGCTAGTTTCATAACTTGTTGTCCACTGTGTTCAGGCGTCATGGAATAAATTTGCCAAGTACCAAAAAAATTTCTGCAAATTACTCAATTTGGATTACACAGCAATGATTGCCCCCTACTGGCAAACTGTCTGCCAGGTACTGAGTCAGGCCAGCTACCACTGGGAGTATGGAATGAAATGTGTAAGTCGCTTATTGCGTTTAAAGCACTCCAATTACTAAACATCAACTCTGTTCTAAACTCTGACCCAAGTGTATTGAGGCCCTGAGTGTTTCCAATTTAAAATAATAATTATACAAGTATTTTCCCAGGAAGGTCCACAGAACTATGTTTTTTTTTCAGAAGCGACTTGGCCACAAATGATAGCTCAACTAATTGGCTTATCACACGGAAATGTATCCAAATACTCGAAACGCATGTTTCTAACATTGTCACTCTTGCGTACATGTGATAAGCAATCTATACCAGGGAATGTTGGAGATTCTTACCGTTGTCACAGCATTTCAAAGGCACATTCAGAAATACTCGAGTACAGATCTCATAAGTTCAAGTTCATGCAACTTGTGAAATCTTTACAAAAACACAAGCAATCCAAAGGTGTACTAAATTAAGTCTATGTTCACCAATTACCCAAATATTTCTTCTATCGTGCAATGTAAATGTAGGACCGTAAATCCGGAAGAGTCCCACAACTGACAGGTTCACGGAACAAAATATATCAATGTCATGTGTGTACTGTAGTGTAGCATGTGCAACCGATGGATTTAAACCCACTTGAAAAATCTAGGCTGGCTTTATTTTCACAGACATAACACGGAAAGCCTACGAGTGATGGATATTTTGATTTGCTTCCTTTTAAGATGTACGTGATCAAGAGGTACAGTCTGTTTAAAGGGAGAGTGGTGCCTCTGGGACAGAAGCTGGAACAAAGCACAACCTCAGATTAAAATGATCCCCCTTTGAAGAGTTCACAAGAAAGCACCATGGGAGAGTATTGGGTTTCTCTTTCTTGTTGCCTTTTACGATTCATATTCCCCCAAATCCTGCCAGAAATATTTCCGAGTAGGTTTTACAGTTCTGTTGACATTGCCTACGAGTGAAGCCCCAGACAGTTACTAGGGCTGAGTGGGGGTGGGCTTTACGGTACACACGCCATGTCCAGCCATGTCCAACTGGGCGCTTTCTAAAACCCACACACGTTATGTTGTAACAGTGGGTCCAATGAACACAATGAGCACTAACAACCAGGAATGCGAATGCTTCCGCATTGCAAAGTAAATGCTAGTGCAACGGGATGACCAAAGTCTGTGCCCGAATGTGGTTGGATATTAAAGATATTATATGTCAGTTTTTTTCATGAATAATGTTGAATACATTTACCAGTCAATCGTCTGAATAAAACATGTTTATGCGTCATGTTTGTAATAGGAGTTGCAAATGCTGACATAACGTGAACTTTTGAAGTGCGGTTACATTTCTATTGGGAGGCAATTTCATTCTACGTGATGTTATTTGTAGTACAATGGATTCGGATTGCGAAAACCACAGTGCTTGCTTACTATAATACAATATCTAACAATGCTCAGACTCTAGTATAGACATGCTGCAGAGGTTTACAACGGTTGAACAAACATAAAAGTACAGTAAAACCTTGGATTGCGAGCATCGTTCCGGAAACGTGTTTGTAATCCAAAGCACTCGTATATATCAGTTGTGATGACGTGACGCTCGGCAGACAAAGCGTATACACGTACTACTCGTATTGCAAGATCTCGCTCGTTTATCAAATTAATATGTATTTACATTTTTTGCTCGTCTTGCAAAACACTCGCAGAACAAGTTACTCGCAATCCAAGGTTTTACTGTACATGACAATACATACCGTCACGCTTGCAAATCCTTGATGTGATGCGTTCCACCTTATCATTGTCCTAAATTACGGTTTCGAAATCTATTTAACATCTCACTCACCGAGTATGGGGACGGCTCAATCCGCTCTCCGAAAAGAACCTGCCCCAAGTTCTCTGAAGGTCGCTTTTTTCCTTCTGCTTGGCAGAAGTCGAAGCTGTGGAAGACCGCCGTCAAAAATTCGACCCCTCATGCAAAGGCACTGAACTAATATGTACAGACAGTATTTCGTTTCTTGTCAAACACAGACTTGTCTCGTAGCTGTTGAATTTAGATTATTTATTGGCCTTTTCCCAAAAATGTCATGTCATAGATGAAGAATCCATTAAAATATCTAGCAGAGCAGTGCAACCGCTTGTGTTAGAGGAAGGCCCACAAAAGCAGATATCACAGAGCTACCTCCGAGTGCCTTTGAAGTAACCTCTGGTCCACACAGTAGGTTTAAAGCCCTTTCTTACTCACCATGCCACTATCAGTAATGTTTATCAAATGACAGTCAAAATATTTTTTAAACGAGCTGGAATTTTGCCAAATGCTGCTTATTCTACAAGTGCCACCATGGACAACAATTGTCTCTCTATAGATATTAATGTAGTAGTAGGTTTTTACCCTTTTAAACTGGTACAAAACTGACACATTTATTCAAGGCATCATGTTTGCAATAACCACCACACAAGTAGTCAAAAAAGCAAACAAAAAGAAGCAACTCTGATAATGATAATAATATGCACTGTCCTTGAAGTTGATTGGTCCACACCCGAGACGGCTTTCTTTGAGCCTAGTCACCATTGGTGTTGGACCAGATGACACCAGAAGGCGTACAACTCAAACAGTGCAATATCAGTCTTGAGAGCTCGGAGTAAGCAGAGATCTCATAGTGATATTAATGTAATTATCGCAAAATACATTCCAGGGTTCTACTTAAGCGAAACATTCCAATGACAGTAATACGTGTCAGTGACCAGATGAGAGCTGTTGGCTTGCCTTCACTCTCACAACTACAGTCGTGGCAGATAAGTCAACCATTAGGTGACAGTTGATTCTTTACAAGCAAAGTGTTGTGTTTCACTGTGTCGACTAAATTAAAGGTTTACTTTAGCCTATCTCACCCTTGTAACACAAGCGCTTCTAGCTCAAGCAACACAGCATAATCTACAGCTTGGGTGGGAAACCATTTTCAAACTGAGGGCTAAACAAGACAAAAAATGCAATTGGCAGGACACTCATTAACACACGCCATTGCGTTATCGTAATTAGAGCTCACTGATAAAGGATTGTGATGCCCGCACCCATTGTTTTCTTACCAACATGTTGATTTCCGGTTTACGTTTGGGAGTAAGACAGCTAAGATCCTTCCAATGATGAATAAATATTATTTGCGGGACGTTTATAAGTAGGGCCTCATGTTCCTGTAGGCCCTATTGTATAATTACAATGTAGTCCACGTGGCATTTCTTGGGTCTCACTGTTGCCCATGTGATCGTTGCTGTAAATTTATCTAGCATTGTTGTGATGACATTTACACATATTTAAAAACAGTAACCAACCAGGCAGCTGCCTGACTGATCAAACAGGGTTCTCAAGTGTGGCGAGTTTAAATTCTCCGCCCAGTCAATATGACTGCCAAAAATCCAATCACATTCGATTTGGAACCGCACTTAGTTTGGCAAAAATTCAGCTCCGAGAATTAAATATTGGGTTGACTGCCATGTGGAAAAGATGACTCTCACTGCAAAGCGGATGAGAAAGTACTGTCCTCTACAGTCTGGACCAGAAGTCACTTGAAGGGACCTGAAGTGGTGGGTCCATTCTCCAATACTACTGGACATCTGTGAAAAAGAGCTTTATTATAAGTCATTGGATTCCTCCAGTCGAAATAAAGATTGATTCTGATTCCGGTTGAACTGCTCTCAAAAGATGTGAATGAACATGACGCCGACAACACAATCGGGATAAACATAGGGAGAAATAAAAACAATAAGAAAAAACTATCCTCATTAATGTTTGATTATTGTGCAAAACGATACTTCATATCGAGGAAAGCAGGTTCTCTCAACCTCTGATCGACACAACTGTCTTTAAAGCCAGTCGATTCACAATGATAACAGCAGGTGACTTGAATTGTGGTTAGCAGTATACCGTATAAAATAAGGTAAATTATACTCACGCATTGTATTCATAGGGAAGAACAGATTCCACTGAATCCAGTCTGTTCACAAACAGCTCAATGACGGACTGTGTGGGAAGAGAAGTATTTTTTGTAGCAAGTGATGAGAATACATAAGTTTGACATTTGTAACAACCAATCAATACATTTGCAGTTTTATACTTTTATCATGTATAACGAATTTCGATTTAAAGCTTTCGTGACTGCAGGGATTCATCTTGGTTCTTTCGGTAAAGTCACGTAGAAGGGAAGTAATAAAATAATAAAAATATTACTTCCCTTCTACGTGACTTTACCGAAAGAACCAAGATGTATAACGAATGTTACATATTTAGATAATCGTATCAAATGTATGGCTCTGCTTCCGTGATACAAACAGGGTGCTTGACAATGAAATGATTAACAAGATACGGAATAAGATAAATACAAAAGCTAACAGGATACAGCGAGGCATGAGAACAATACGGTTTTAGAAATAAGAGCAAGGAAACATAAAGATGAGGGTTTGGTAAGGGGATTGCATAAAGGCTTGCCGCTTATAAAAAGAAATGCCATGCCTCAAAATGTGTACTTTTCCTTAAGAGTAAGTCAACACGTGATTATTAATACATTGATATCCTGAAGATGACTCTGCAAGTTGTAAAAGATCACGAACACAAGCCGACTCATTGATATTGTGCTTTAAAATGTTTTATAGTCTGTCATTTTTAATCTCCACCTTATCTCTCCATACGATGTCAATACTACCCTTTACGGAAATAATTTGACAAACCACAATCGTGCCGAAGCAGGTTTTCATTATAATTATTACACGCTTTTATTTAACTCACTCCGTCTGTTGTCGTATCGTTAAAAAATCTTGTAACTCAATTTTTACCCACTTCCCAATGTGCTATCGACTACAAACTTGGTATACTTATGTCATACTGATGACAAGACTATATTCTATCATTAAAACATTTTCAAATGCATATTTTTATTCATTTTAGACGCTTTTATTTAACTTACTCTGTTGTCGTATCCTCAAATCTTGTAACTCAATTTCAACCGTCTTCCCAAAGTCGTATAGACTGCAAACTTGGTATAGGTATCCCATACTGATGACAATACTATATTCTATCATGATAATTTTAAAACATATATTTTGAAACAATATTTTTGACGGGTCTAATTGTCCACGCTCAACTAACGTTGCCTGTAAATCACCACGGGGTCCCTTACGCTATGGCAAGCTACGGGGCCACTTCCTGGAGTCGTGGAGTTCTGCCATTACGAGTATGGTACATTTCATTAAAGCGTGCTGTTTTAAAAAAAAAGTATTTTAAATATTTGTTTAAGAGTAGAGCATATACTCAACGTGCTGGCCACTCAAACCACTGTAAACCAAAAAAGACACGTGCCTTTTAATAAGTCTTAGCATTTTTTATTTACAAACTCACCTTTCAAGTAACTCGAGAACATTTCAAGGCATTAAGCCTTAAGAAAAAAATAGTTAACCTTCTGGCTGACATTATGCAAATGTATTACCTAACTTGGTGAATGCTTTACATCATTAAGAGTGAAAGCGAAGCACTGCATCCTTCCTCTTCAATATGGGGTATAATATTCACAGAGACAATAGACAAATAATTTGGCCACTTGTCACACATCCTTTTCGTCGGGAATACGAGGTCAGGTGACGTGTCCACTTTAACTTCCAACCATTTTAAAACGTAAACAAGACAACACGCATTTAGCATTGGCTGTTCACGTAAACTAAAACAAGATACTGAACAAACATTGTATGGTAGTAGCAGTAGAGGTTAAAGGAAAATCGTTCCACTTAGGGGTTTAATTATACCAGGGATACCCTATTATTCCAGTAACAGACGGTGATAGGTTCAATTCTTCAATCGGATAACACGAAACACAGGTGGAAAAAGTTTAACCTCTGTTCCCACGTGTGCCGCTGGACTGGAGGTGACGCCCGGGGGCGAGTGACATCATCGGCCTATCAACTTGAACGTGCCGTCAGGGCAGCTACCATTATTAAAAGTGGCCCGAGTAATCGACCAGTGAATACGGTACTGTATAGTCAAATACAATTGTTATCGATCAGTCCACTCCATCGACTCATCGTCCCGGCCCGAGTTGAATGATGCCAACCGAGGGCGCAATGTGCACTTTAACTTCCTGTTCATGTTGACAAAAGCCATCGAACGACCTTAGAAAACTACGGCAATTACAGGGAAGCTTTGAAACCACGTCGCAAAGATAAGTGCCGCTTTCTGAGAAGCCTAAATTGTTCTGTACAGTGGAGTTATCCCCAGAGGTGGGACAAAGTCATTGTTATGCAAGTCCAAGTCGAGTCTCAAGTCATCAAATTCATGACTCGAGTCCAAGTCACATGACTCGAGTCCACACCTCTGGTTATCCCTGCCGTAAAATAAATGGAATTTGCACCACTGGCTTAGAGACACGGTGAACGACCCGCATTGACCAGCGTGGTGCAGTATTGGTCCTGTAAAAGCATGGGCACTCATGTCAATCTACTGCTGGATTGTGAAGTCGGGGAGCATACACGTGGGCGCATAGATGTACATACAACGCAGAAATATGGATCTTGCTCTCTGCTGCCCAGCGGTCTACAACACCTGTAGTGCAAGGTCTATGCCCATCCAAGCCTCTACCCAGGCTCAAGCCTTATAGATCTGACGCGTTCGAGCGTTTGTGTGTAATTTAGTCAGATAATGATCACGTTGTAATACTTGATAAACACGTGTGTCTTATATCCTAATCGTCGTCATTATCACCAGCAGCAATCGGTACAATGCACTGCTTGTTAAATGCCTCTCAACAAGGCGTTGTCATGACTCGCCACCCTGCGATGCAAATACGTCTATCTTATTACACTGTATCTTAATACTATACAGTACTGCGAACTGTCCACTAGTGTAGGATCCCTGCTTATGTAGGAAATGCTGAATATACAGCGTTAGTATACGCATAGGCACACTGAACATGTCTCTCAATGTGAACATATCTACAGCGTACGTACATCAATTTAAAGTTACGAACCGGCGGCACGTCATTCATACCGTTCTAAGGACGGATCAGAGTTTAATTTCCACCCCGTGCGGAATAACATCAGAAGCGGCGTCAACTTCACCAAACCGCACATGACCAGTGAGGTGAAGTATGGTCAAAACAACCGCTCACACGACCTTTACGGCGTGGTTGAGGCCCTAATCCGACAGCGGATTGACCGTATTCACACACTGTAGTAGTGGCGTGACCAGGCAGCTATTGCCGAGCGCCTAACCACGACTTCTAATTCTCTTTCATAAAATAATACATTTTTTTTACGAAAGGGCCAAACCAGGCCGAGGCTTTTCCCGCTTTTCCTAGAACACTTTACCGGGCAAGTGTCGCTCTTGCTCTCCTCCGGGCAGAAGCTGACGGGCGCCAGGCCAGGCAGGTAGAACCCGGCGGAAAACCCGCTCAAGGTGACGAAAGTGAGAACAGAAGCAACAGACATCTTTCCCATTCCCCTCGAGACAGACGGATGACAAAAAAATTAAACGAATTTAAAGTTGCGACCGAGTCTCGGCGCCAGGACTTCCTATGCGGTCCACGTCAGCCACCCCCGAGGCGATTACATTCCGCAGTTCGCATGAGCGCGGCTCGCCACTTTGGCGGCTCGTCATTGGTCAGTGGGCGTCCAACACGACAGCACGCAGCGCTCCTATTGGTGCAGTCGCCGCCGGCGCGCGAATGAAGTGGCAAATATAATCCCCCCTCTCTACCCCGCCTTCACCTGAGCGGGATAGGGCGCGGTCAGAGGCGTGGTTTGGTTTTGCAGGTGATAGGGGAAGAGCCAATCAGCGTGAGGCGACACGTGATTGACACCTCTTCGATTATACTGGTAGGAACGAAGTGGACCAGACCACCAATAGATTAATGTGTCCGTCCGTGGGAGGGGTGGTGTTGAGGGTGGTGTTGGAAATGAAAGACTACGAGTCTTTAAATCTCACAGCGTTTCTTGTCAAAACAAACACTTTTAATTAACGTTACACTAGAATACAGTAATTTTTTCTTTAACTCCTCTATACCCGGTCGATATCTCTGTACCGGTACTAAGTATTATTCCTACCAGCCCACCCCGCAGGGTCCTGTTTGTGCTGTCAAGGATAAGAGACACCATAGAGCAGCGGTCGGGAACCTATGGCTCGCGAGCCATATATGGCTCTTCTGGTGACGGCATATGGGCTCCAAGACAATTTTGAGTTGAAAAAAAAAATACAAAAATCAGTTTGGAACTGATTTTAAAATACTTATGATTTGGCTTAATAATACTGTGTCATTTTAAAGTAAACAGAAATTAGTTTTGAAGATAAATGTCACGGGTCACGGGGCCTCAACGCCTGCATGAAGCTCAACCTCACCACGTACGAACCAGACTACAAGGCCATCAGCAAAACCATGCAGCACCAGAAGTCGCATTAAAAGTGATACATATTTAATGTATTATACGTTAAAAATACTATATGGCTCTCAATGCAATATATTTATAAATATTTGGCTTTAATGGCTCTCCCAGTCAAAAAGGTTCCCGACCCCTGCCATAGACTTTACATAGGACTCATATTCTTAGGTTTTTTCGGTAAAGTCACGTAGGTAAAAAAATTAAATTAATAAAAGTAAAATAAAGTAAAAAATCACGACGTTTCGGAGGCAACACAAGCTTCCGTCTTCAGGTGGAACATAATAAAGGCTCAGTCTTTTGTTATGCAGTCTATTCATAGTCTCAAACAGCACCTTAACATAATAATAAAAGTGGGCCATTCCTGCCCCTTCCCCCCCCCTCAACCATTATATATACGGAGTGGTATCTCCTGTAATCTCTCATTTACTTGATACAACTGTCGGGCTGTGACGGTTCCACCTGAAGACGGAAGCTTGTGTTGCCTCCGAAACGTCGTGATTTTTATTTTATTTTACTTTTATTAATTTTAATTTTTTACCTACGTGACTTTACCGAAAAAACCTAAGAATATGAATCCTTGCAGTCACGAAAGCTTCAAATCTAGAATTTACATAGGACCCATTGACTTACATAAGACACACAGACTTACATTGGACCCAGATAATTACATAGGCTTACATATAATCCATGTAAATATAAGAATTATAGATTTACATGGCACCCATAGACTTACATAAGACACACAGACTTACATAGGACCCAGATAATTACATAGACTTAAATATAATCCATATAAATATAAGAATTATAGATTTACATGGCTCCCATAGACTTACATAGGGCACGGGGACTTAGATAAGATCCAGATAATCACATAGACTTACATATAACCAATATAAATTTAAGAATTATAGATTTACATGGCTCCCATAGACTTACATAGGGCCCAGATAATCACATAGACTTATATATAACCCATATACATTTAAGAGATAAAGATGTACATGGCACCCATAGACTTACATACGGCACACAGATTTGCATATAACTCATAGATTTGCATAGCACCCATAGACTTACATAGGACACACAGGCTTACATAGGACCAAGATAATGACATACTGTAGACTTACATAGGACACGTACACTTACGCATGTATGCTGAACTTCTTTCGCACCGGACGTAGCTAACCATGCCAATCGGAGGTGCGGTGGGAGGACAACAAACTAAACACAAAAACAGTTCTTAAAAAATTCGTTTTCCATAGACTTACATATAGGTCAGCTGAGCAGGAAATCTGTTCCGATTGATACCCGAGACACGGGCAAGTCCACATTTAGAAATATGCATTGAGATTATTTAGATTATTTTGGTGCTATAAATGTCCAAATGATGGGCCACTTTGTTGAGCTATCATTTGTGGCCAGGTTGCATCTGAAAAAAAAGTTAATTCCTCACTGGACTTTGCCTGGTAGGATGGGGCTGGTTTAGTTTCGTTTGTATGTGTTTGGGTGATTTTTTTTATCTTTCTTGTACTTCGCACTACTATCACGTGATTGTATTGTTTGTTGTTGTAGCATTCTCACCCGCCCCTACTAGACATCTGTGAAACAGAGCTTTATAGCTCATCGGATTTCTCCAGTATAAATAAAGATTATGTTTCGGAATTAGTTTACCTTCACACGTCACCAGAGACAAAACACTCCGAGGTGGCGTTTGTTGTCTCATCCTGTATTCGAGAATGGAAGACTGCATCACAGACATACTACATAATTAGTATATTTCAAATTGGTGTGTATATATACATGTCATTAAGTGTTTGCTATTTGTGTGCCATTTGCCACCTTCGATGCCCAGGATGCGCCATTTCAAGGCATTTTGCTGTTGAAATATTTAAAGAAACAATGCGTATAAGTTAAGAAATCAATTCTGGAGACACGCTTTTTCTAAATAGCCTGCAAAAAATGTATTTTTTCACATGTCAATCATGAAAAAACCCATCACATAGCTGGAAAAAAACTCAATATAGTCGGTGAAATAAACAATAATGTAACTGCAATGTTTTATAGAGCAGTCGTTGATGGCCAGGCTGAGACCGTAAATTCACCAAACTTGAGAACCCGGTTTAATCACTGATTTCTTAAGACTCCATTCAACCCTATGATGTCAGCCGCGCCGGCTCAGTGCTCTGACCGCTGAAACACCTGGGTAAGGTACCTCTTAAATCCTGGATACGGTACCTCCTCAACGCTCTGACCGCTGAGACCCCTGGGTGCCGTACCTCTTAAATCCTGAATACGGAACCTCCTCAGTGCTCTGACCGCTGAGACACCTGGGTAAGGTACCTCTTAAATCCTGGATACGGTACCTCCTCAGTGCTCTGACCGCTGAGACACCTGGGTAAGGTACCTCTTAAATCCTGGATACGGTACCTCCTCAGTGCTCTGACCGCTGAGACACCTGGGTAAGATACCTCTTAAATCCTGGATACGGTACCTCCTCAGTGCTCTGACCGCTGAGACACCTGGGTAAGGTACCTCTTAAATCCTGGATACGGTACCTCCTCAGCGCTCTGACCACTGAGACACCTGGGTAAGGTACCTCTCAAATCCTGGATACGGTACCTCCTCAGCGCTCTGACCACTGAGACACCTGCGTAAGGTACCTCTCAAATCCTGGATACGGAACCTCCTCAAGGCTCTGACTGCTGAGACATCTGGGTAAGGTACCTCTTAAATCCTGGATACGGTTCCTCAGTGCTCTGACCGCTGAGATCCCTGGGTAAGGTAACTCTCAAATCCTGGATACGGTACCTCCTCAGCGCTCTGATCACTGAGACCCCTGGGTAAGGTACCTCTCAAATCCTGGATACGGAACCTCCTCAAGGATCTGACTGCTGAGACATCTGGGTAAGGTACCTCTTAAATCCTGGATACGGTTCCTCAGTGCTCTGACCGCTGAGATCCCTGGGTAAGGTACCTCTCAAATCCTGGATACGGTACCTCCTCAGCACTCTGACTGCTGAGATCACTGGGTACCGTACCTCTTCAATCATGGATATGGTACCTCTGCATTGCTCTAACAGCTAAGACACCTGGGTACCTCCCAAAGCCTGACGTTGACATTACAGTTGTTTACCTTGCTGAAACGGTCACACCGTAAAACGATAGCGGCTAATATGTCTTCTGTCAGTCTTACTCACCAACGTATTCGGCCCATGTTGGCGATGGAGATTGTTTCTATCAAGCTTGCTCCAATAATCTTCCATTAGAATTAGACTCACATAGGACCCAAATAGAATAACATCACGTAAACAATTGGGTCGACTGTTCTGCACTAAATTTCCATTGGCTTGCAGCTTTCATAAATTATGTTTCTGATAAATTAGAATTACCATGGGCAAAATAAAAATATAAATAAATAGATAAATATTCAATGCCTCTGGCATCAACTTTGTATAATTGTGCAGCCAAGGCATTCTTTGCATATTTCCACAACTTTATCCTCGATGTGTAATCGGCATCTTGAGACTAGGAATCCAGTCGGAACTCTCACAGGTAGAAATGCAGAAATGGTATCACAGAATTGCTGGGGAAATCTCCAGTGGCCGCTCATCCACATTAATACCATTTCTATTACTGTACAACATTCACCCATCTTCTTGGTTCTTTCGGTAAAGTCTACGTGCCTTTACCGAAAGAACCAAGAAGATGAATCCCTGCAGTCACGAAAGCTTTAAATCAACATTCACCCAGTAACCATGAAACGTTTATCCAACGTTGGTGCCAACGGCCCTAACGGTTGCAATCACGTACCAACGTTGACCCACCGTTGGTATATTAACTGGGTAACTTACCAAGGACATTCATTCTAGATTTGAAGCTTTCGTGACTGCAAGGATTCATATTCTTAGGTTTTTTCGGTAAAGTCACGTAGGCAAAAAATTAAAATTAATAAAAGTAAAATAAAAATAAAAATACCTCCGAAACGTCGTGATTTTTATTTTGATTTTACTTTTATTAATTTTAAATTTTTACCTACGTGACTTTACCGAAAAAACCTAAGAATTACCAAGGACAGTCTGGGCCATCGTAACTCTTTTGTTCACGAGTCGCCCGTCTAAGTTTTGCAGTAGGGGGCGATGTTGCCGTATGAATTACACTGGTCCGTGACGCGGCCGGGTAGAAGAGCGATCTCTGCGTCCTTCTGTAATTGGTTCACGGGGTTTCGTATCCAGCAGACGCCGTGCATTAGTTACCGTTGGTCAGTGGTGTGGGGACGACGTAATCAGCTCAGGTTGGGTGCGGTAATCGGTCACGTGGGGGCCCAAAAATGATTTGATGTGTCTCGCACGGTCGCACCCAGGCTTATTGTATACCGCGGCTCATCTCGCCTAATCATGTCGTCGTTACGCTCACAGTTTCGAACATTTCACGCCGTTGTGGCGCGCTCCGTATTCGTAAAATGCAGCCACCGCTTGAATTAAATAAAAAATGTTGGAACGTAAATTAAACCGTGCCATTAAAATAACTTAAACCGCGTTTTAAATAAGGGGCCGTCCGTAAATGACGTCACGCGATTTTGGACGATTTTTTACCTCCCCCCCCCCTTCGTCACACGGCGTCACAAAAAGTCAGACCCCCCCCTCAAATATGACGTCACAAAGCTCTGCCCCCCCCCAAAAAAAACATATTACCATTTTTTAAATAAAACATGCTTCAAATAGCTTCAAACTATTGTCATTGTAGGGCGTATTTAATGTGGCACTGTGTTGTTATAACAATTCTATATTTATTTAAAGTTGCGCATTTTGATGTGACGTCACAAGCAATGATCATCAGGTACAAATGAAAGAGAAAAACCTAGTAAACTTAGAAATATAATGCAATACAACAAAGAGAGTTGGATAACATAACAGTTAGGGTGTGTTGTACTGTATTGCATTGTATTTCTAAGTTTACTAGGTTTGTTTTCTCTTTCATTTGTACCTGATGATGATGATGATTGCTCGTGTTGCAATCGAAACGTCGTATGCTATTATTTAATTTATTAGTTTCTATTTCTACGGGACTTTACCGATAGAACCAAAGAACACGTATACTATTCGAAATCATTGAAACAACGTGTTTTTATACCACTCTCAACCGCCGTCCAAATCCCCAATTGCGTTCCCTAACAGTCGATGTGACGTCACTACGTTGCGTGCGTTCTGTCATCCACACGATCATTCTCTCTGCCTCTCAAAGTGATGTCTCAGCATGCACCTCTGCTATGCTTCCTCGCGCACTTTTGAGCCACCGTTTAGCCAGAGAATAGTCTCGGATCTGCGCACGTGTACGTACGTTCTGCGTTGTATAATTTTTGCTCGTAATTCATCAATGGTGCACGTACTCTTACCTAATTTTTCGTGGAGGTGGGGGGGGGGATAACTGACCACGGGTTTACTGTAGACGATATCGCGTGCATGCAACGAACATGCTGCTGCTGCAGAAACAGTGGAGGAAGTGTCAAGCTCACGCTAAAAAACCCGCAACGGCCACATGTAAAAGCTGCCCAAAAATATAAATGCTGACATGGCATCAAAAAAATGCCGCTGTATTTCGTTGTACGTATGTGTGTTGAACTTCTTTCGCGCCGTACGTAGGCATCCGCGCTAATTGGAGGGACGGGGGAAGGACAATAAACTAAACACATCTTCTTGGTTCTTTCGGTAAGGTCACGTAGAAGGGAAATAATGAAATAATAAAAAATAAAACATAATCACATACTTATTTAAAAAATAAAACATAACCAAATAATAATTTTATTATGTTTTATTTTTATTATTTTTAATGTTATGTTTTATTTGTATTATTTTATTATTTCCCTTCTACGTGACTTTACCGAAAGAACCAAGAAGATGAATCCCTGCAGTCACGAAAGCTTTAAATCGAAATTTAAACTAAACACATGCACGCAAAAAACGTCACCAAATAAATTAGCTTTCAATCTAGATGATGTAAAAGTGCATGGCTCCACTGGCTTCTTAATATGGGAAGGAAGAGCGTTCCGAACGGTCGCAGAAGCGCATCTGAAAGTGCGCGTGTGGTGCCCGTCTTCGTTCGATGGCCCAGCCAGAAGCCGCTGCTGCTGCTGCGGTGCCCGGAGTTCGCGTGATGGTTCATGCTCCTTGACGAGATCGTCAAGGTATCGTGGTTAATTTGTGACAAGCACTTTGCGTGCCATATGCGCGACCTGTTCATGTCGTCATTCGGCAACCTCTGGTGACTGCGTCCAGCAGACGACGCAGACACTGCGCGTTCAAGGCTGCCCAGAGCGTAGGGAGCTAAAAGTGGGCAACTTTCCACGTGATGATTGCGCGTGGCCAACGTGGACGTCGGTCGTAACTCTAACCGTGAAAGCTCCTCGTCCACACCAGCGGCCTGAGGCTTTTCACCGCCGAGTTCGACGCCAACGCACGACGCCGCTGCGGGCTCCCAAGCCGCATTGGAGCATCCGCGATGGGGGCAGCGAACTCGATTTCACCCACGGAGAGAGAGAGCGGTCAGCAAAAGAGAAGGGAGCCAGCCCTCTTTGCAGAGGGGATGGCCCACGTCACCACCACGCAGGGAAATCGCAGTCATTGCCTGAGGAAAGCACAAAGGACTTTGACCCAAACGTCCTCGCGTTGACGTTGCATTCATTAGTGAAAAGCATTAAGCCGCCAGTGAGCAATTATATTGGTAGGGATTTGACCAGTTCATCGGCACGTGCTGTGTACATTTATGGAATGCTGGATTTTCTAAGCATTCCTGGTCATCGTCTCAGAACACAATCTCCTTCTTCTAGCTTGTGGGGGAGTGTGTCTGTAGACTGTACGTCCAGGGTAACGTTTGTGAGCCATTTGATGACAACGGCTTGCGGCTGCTTCTGTTTCGCATTCGCGGTCCGGTGCACGTGTTGCGTGCAGAATCGTGCTTGTTTTGTTTGTACCGTGTGTGCTGAACTTCTTTCACGCCGTACGCAGTCAACCGTGCTACTCGGAGGTGTGGAGGTTGGATAATAAATTAAACACAAGAAGCAGTTCTAAAGAAATGAGTTTTCAATCTAGATTTTAAAGTGCATTGCTCCTAACATCGGAAGAGCGTTCCAGACGGCCGCAGAATTGCATCTGAAAGCGCGCGATTCAGTACATATGTATGGTGAACTTCTTTCGCACCGTATAGCCTAACGTGCTTTTCGGAGCTACGAGGGAAGGACAACACACTGAACGCAAAAAGCAGTCCTGAAGAAGTGAGTTTTAAAAATGTTCGGCTTGAAACGCGAGCTCCCACGGTTTTTACGGAGGAATGTGGATGCACGCACCGCTTTGCGACCAACTTCCCCGTCTTGACGCGGACGTCATTCGGCGGGCAGTGAGTAATGAACCGGAATTTTTTTTTCGTCGCCCCGGCCGTCACATTTGCGCACCCAAGTTCAGCTTTTGACCAGTGCCCTCGAAATAGGAAGCTGCGGAGCAGAATTCATGCAGCCAGCTGCTCGCCTTCGCGTTTTGGTCACGCCCGTGCTTCTAAATAGGAGGCGAAAAAAACATGTTTTAAAAAAAAGGGATTTGATAATTTTTAGCACCCAAAGCGAGCATTCTTCTTAACCCCCCTCCCCTCTCTCCCCCTCCGACCCGGACACCCTGGAGTTTTGCGTGAATATACTCGAAGCCAGCTGCGTGGAGGGTTGGCGTAACCAGAGACGGATCACATTACGGACCAACTCCCGCACATCGGACAAAGTGGACGGACGCGGTGGAAGGTATGTAGCGACGTCATTTACTCGGCTCTCTGATATTGTGTCGATGTGCCCGGTGGCTATGGTGGGTCTGCTTGTTATATTGAACAAAGACGGTCACTGTATCAGATGCGATTCTGCAGGCATCTGAAACGCGCGTCCCTCCGATAGGAAGCCACTTGAGCTAAGCACTTCTACATCTAGAATGAAAACTAATTTCTCTGGAACTGCTCTGTGTGTTTAGTTAGTTGTCCTTACTTCCCTTGCGCCTGCGATTAGCACGGTCGGCTACGTACGGTGCCAAAGAGGTTCAACGTACTTATTCAGGAGTCACGCTTCAGAGGATGTGTAAACGTAAATAACTGAATTTCGATTTAAAGCTTTCGTGACTGCAGGGATTCATCTTCTTGGTTCTTTCGGTAAAGTCACGTAGAATGGAAATAATAAAATAATAAAAATTAAACATAATAAAATAATTCTCACGACGTTTCGGCCACAACGCAAGCAGCCGTCCTCAGGTGAAGACCAGGTCTGTCGGGGAGACAGCGTCTGACGCTGACAGAACTGGTCTTCACCTGAGGATGGCTGCTTGCGTTGTGGCCGAAACGTCGTGAGAATTATTTTATTATGTTTTATTTTCATTATTTTATTATTTCTATTCTACGTGACTTTACCGGAAGAACCAAGAAGATAAATAACTGATTCATGTATCCCGGCAAATGCGACGTAATTTTGAAACATGCATTGATACAAACAAAATCGGCGTTCACGTAATTTTTTTTGCGGAGGGTCCCGTAATCGGGATGTATGACCAAATGCCTTTAAGGCTCGATTTTTTTTATTTGCGTGTAAATCAACTTAGTGCAGACTGCAGATGGCAATGACATTCAGGAAGTCGGCGAAATCATTTAAAACAAGCCCCGAGTCTCACACTGTAGTCGTGCTAAAAGGCTTTTGAGGTTGGGAAATCTAAAATGCAGCTCCGTATTATCCAGATTATTTTTGGGTTACTTTTCTTTTCCATCCGTTCACTGCGTGTCTCTCATTCCGGAGAAAATGGGCAGTGAGTGGAGATGTTTTTTTTCACAACTGACAATTTAAAGAGAGGCCTTCTGGAGGCATACTTTGTTTACATTTTTTCAAAATATATATTATTTACCCAGAAAAGTCACGCTATGTATGTACGTTGAACTTCTTTCGCACCGTACGTAACCAACAGTGGTAAATCAGAGGTGCGGGGGGAGGACAACACGAAAAGCAGTTCGAAAGAAATGAGTTTTCACACCAAAGTCCAACGACTCTTTTGTCAGGGGAGTCCTGCTACATTTGGATATTTGGCCAACACCTGTACGGTGCCAAAGAAGTTCAACATACAAACATTGCACATTCTTATTAGCTGCGGTTGGCAACCGTAGAAGTCGGAGGAATCCCATGCAGAGCAACAGGGGAGGGAGCTGGACAAACTCTACTCTATCAAATGCGCCCGGGGCAGGGAATTAAACCCAGGTCCTTCTTGCCGTGTGGCATGTTACCACCGTGCCACCCACCCGTCCTTCCAAATCTCAAACCACCCCTTCATGAATCTAGGGCTTTCGGTAAAATGTTTTATTTTTGTGTGCAAAATAGCCATATATTGTAGTACAATATTGGCAAACATCCCAATGCAACACCCTCCTAAAATGGAGTAGTATGGCTCAGCTGGATAAACGGATTAATTTCATTATTACTATGACTGTGTAAGTACGTTCATCATCAGCGGCTATTGTCCATCCACTGCTGGATGAAGGCCTGCACATGCCACATGGGCCTTGCGAGGCCTATAATCTTCCGTCTCACGCCGGCACTTGGACCGATTTAAAACTAAACTAAAACTTTTATTTTACCAGGCAAAGCCCACTGAGCTATGTAGCTCTTTTTCAGAAGCGACCTGGCCACACAAGATAGCTCAACGAAGTGGCTTATCGTCGTGTGTAAATGTATCGCAGCCAAACACTCTAAACGCGTGTTTCTAAATGTGGAGGGGAAAACCAGAGGACCCGGAGAAAAATCCACGCCACCACGGGGAGAACATGCAAACTCCAAATATACTACAACAGGCACCAGGGTCGAGATCGAACCCACAACCTCCTGTATACCAGGCGAGAGAGTTAACATCTCTCCACCGCGGTGCCAATTACGAGCAAACCAGTGGCACTTGCTGTTAAAAATAATCATGAGGAGCGCCGTTGTGTAGAACAAGGACTCCATTTCGTTAAGAGTGTAAGGGGCCTTGCCTGTCAGATGCGCAGTTCGCCAGCATTGATTCAAGCAAGCCTGACTGCTGATGAAACACTGATTGTCGAAAACCGTCCAGGGGTTTGCTCGTACTGAATAAATGCTGCCGGCTCCTGTATACCAGGCGAGGTAGTCAACATCTCGCCGCCATGGCGCCCCCATATCACCGAAGCTCCACGAGCCGTCCCCTCTGCTGCGCCTTCCATTGTGCCACCGAGTCCCCGCACGCGCGACTCTTCACGCGGCAAGTTCACCCCTGCTTCCTTCCCCACCAGAATGCGTCTCGTTATGACAAGCAGAGCCGTTCCCCACCGGGGCAACGGAGAATCGGGGCGGCCGCCCGGGGCCCCGCGAATTGCCGCCCTCCACCTCCCACCTCCCACCCCCCAGCGTTTCGACGTCACAGTGTCAGATGTAATACTTCCCCGGTTTAGTTCGAAGGCGTTGGTAGGGGCTGGCGGGAGGGTACACAGTGGGGTTTGCCCTGGGGCTCGTAAACTCCATGCCATGGACGGGCCTGAATACAACACCAGTGACAATTATCTGGACTGGTCCTGGGCCTCGCCTAGGTCGACTCGGCTTCAAATGAGTACTGTGCCCGGTGCGGTGTGTAAAGGATCGTCGACTAGGGAGACAAAGGCGGCCGGGCGTGGTGCTGGCCACCCAAACCCTCGTGTGCCGTGCCGGCCTTCATAGGTGCTCGCTCACAGCACTTGCCCCGAAACTCTTATTTTTTTAGGCTATGTGGAGGATACATATTCTTGGTTCTTTCGGTAAAGTCACGTTGAAGGGTGTTAAAAACAGGTGTTTTTCACACCTGATGATGATTGCTTGTGTTGCAGTCGAAACATCGTCAGAATTTTATTGTTTTATATTTTTATTATTTTATTGTTTCCGTTCTATGGCACTTTACCGAAAGAACCAAGAATATGAATTCCTACAGTCACGAAAGCGTTAAATCAAAATCTACATGGGGTATCTTTGTCTTCTTGTCTTCCCTTTTTTATCTCTCGATGCCGCTGTCGATATGCACGCTTCTTTGCACAATTTTCAGCCTTTGTTCGATTTTTTTTTGCCATGCCGCTGCCCGTGTGTTTTTGGTCCATGTCACATCAGGTAATAGTGGGTTATGTTGCCACTGGTGCTGATGATGATTCGAATGTTGACAATGCTGCCGATTATGCTTCTGTTGGAGATGAAAGACCGCTGGCTCTATTGTGAGTTATCTTTCCTTGGTGCACAAATTGGCCAGTGCAGGACACTTCTCATGCAAGAGTCTGGAGACTCAGTGAGGATTTCATGCATAAAACAATTTACATTATTCACATCTATATATGGGTCAATGGGGTTTTTTTCCAAGAGATCCTTTCCAATTTTGACCGAGTGTGCATCGATATATAAATATGTTGAACTTCTTTTGCACCGTACGTAGCCAACCATGCTAATCGGAGGTGCGGGCAGGGGGGGTGGATAACAAACTAAATGCACGCGAAAAAATCAGTTTCAAACAAATGACATTTCAAGAAATATGACTCTTGCTTGCGTTTGCACCGCTGTTTCCAGGAACGTGGCAACATTTCAAAACCTCCGGACGTTGGGAACTTACCCGGGCTTGTTCTCGCCACCGTTCACGATCTCACTGCCGCGTGCTCCTCCACTGCCCTTCGATCAACCCGTGGGCGACCGGCACACCCACCCACCCACGGCGAGAAGGCCCGTGAAGGCCCATGGCTTTCGGTGACGCCAACGCGACGGCCGTCGGCGGCGCGTGCGTTGAGTGGCTGTGGTCGCAGCGATGGTACGCCGCCCTGAACAGCGTCGTCTACAGCGTCACCTTCGTGGTCGGCTGCCTGATCAACGGGCTCGCTCTCTGGGTCTTCACGCACACCTCCAAGAAGAACAAGGTGCACATCTTCATGATCAATCTCACCGTCGCGCACCTCATCGCCATCGCCTTCATACCCTTCCGCCTCTTCCACTTCATCACTGGCGGCTGGTCGCTCGGCAAGTCGTTCTGCCGCGTCCTGGTGGCCGCCCGCTGCGTCTTCTCGGCGGCCACGCTTTGGTTCTTCACGTGCATCAGCGTCGAGCACTACCTGGCCGTGGTGCACAAGGTGGCCGCGGGGCCGATCCGCCGGGCCAAGGTTTACCGGCTCGCCAGCGTGGCCGTGTGGCTTCTGGTCGCCACGCAGATCCCGCCGATCATGCTCACGGAGGAGGCCGGCAAGGCGGTGTGCAGTGGCAGCTGCCACAAGATGAGCGTGATCACGTCCTGGCGGGAGATATGGCTGCAGCAGCTGGTCATGACCATCTTCCACTTCCTGGCGCCGTTCGCCGTCATCACCGTCACCTACTTTCACATCGTGAGGTTCCTGCTGGGCAAGAGGCACCACGGCGGCGGTGGCCGCGTCAATTTCGGCGGCAGCTTGAGCGGCAGCAAGGGCAGGTCGAAGTCCCTGAGGATAATCTTCACGATCGTCGGCTTGCTGGCGGTCTTCTACATGCCCTACCACATCGGCATAACCATCCACCTGGGCACACAGTGGCTGTGGAGCGACGCGGCGGATGGCTGCGGCGTCTCGGGCGCCGTCATCGCCTGCCTATCGCTGCTCATGGACGTCAGCTGCTGCGCGCTCTTCCCGCTCTACTTCCTCGTGTCCAAGTACTTCAGGCAGCGCTTTAACAGCGTGCTCGTCTACCAGCGCTACCTGTCGAGGCTCACGAGGAAGAGGCGTGCGTCCGTGGCCATGGACTCCCTGGAGTGACCGCCGCGGTTGCCATCGGCGGCAGCATCAGCATCGTCAGCGGCGTGTGTCGAGTTTGAGGCCAGGAGGTGCTTTCGTTCGAACCGCGTGTGCGGTGCTCATGGGACTTGCCAGGGATGAGATACTCATTTGGAAGAGTGACGAAGTGTGTGTGTGTATGTGCACTTTTTGTTGAACTTCTTTCGCGCCGTACATAGCCAACTGCGCTAATAGGAGGTTGCAGGCAGGGGGGGGCACACGCAAACTCAACACACAAAGCCGTTTTCAAGAAATCAGTTTTGAATCTAGATTTCAAAGTGCCGCAGCTCCAGTGGCTTCCTGCAGCAACGAAGGACCAAGTAGAAATCGGCACAAAAACAACTGCGCCACGCGAGAAATCGAAAACGTCGCACGAGCACAAAGACACTTTCGCACGGGCAGACAACTTTTAGACCAATGATGTTGTACAATGACATGAGTTGCAGAAACGCCAAACAGAAATTTTTGGCGACTATCGCACCGACGTGTAAACACACCGCGTTGTAAGGAGTCAGCTGCAGTTGGCAGTGACGTTATCGTAAAGGATCGACAGCTCAGCGTCAGAATTGTTGTTTTGGTAGGTGGGTGACCGAGGACATATTTGAAACGGTGGCATTCCAGGAATTTGAGGTATTCACGGAGAAATATGCCCACCGCATTTACACCGAATATGGAACTCTGTGTGAGTCTACTTGGTTTCGCTATGAGTCTGTGGGTCTGTGTGTGAGTCGAGGGGCATCTGTGTGAGGCTGTCAGGCTGTGCGTGAGGCTATTGGTTTCTCTATCTCGATGTATCTATACGTCTATGCCTCTCCCTATAAGTCTATGGGTGTCTGTGTTAGTCTATGGATCTATGTGTGAGTCTATTGCCTTATCTATGATTCCATGGGTCTCTCTCTCTCTAAGTCTATGGGTCTCTGTGCGAACCTTTGGATCTACGTATGAGTCTACCTAAAGCGATGGGGTTTCAGGCGTTTGGGGCATAAGCAGAGAATGAGTGAGAACCGCGTGACCTGTTTTGTTCTCGGTCAGACATTTGTGACGATGTGTGACGAGGGGGTTGGGGGTTTTAGAAATGTGATGTCACATCAAAATGCGCAACTTTAAATAAACATAAACAACACGTTCTACTTAATTAAATAGACGTTTTAATGTTTTCTCCCACAACATCAGAGTGCAGCGACACATTAAATACGCACGACAATGACAATAGTTTAAAGCGATTTGAAGCATGTTTTATTTGGGGGGGGGCAAAGCTTTGTGACGTCATATTTGAGGGGGGGGGTCAAAAATCGTCTAAAATCGCGTGACGTCATTTATGGACGGCCCCTTTAGTGTTGTGAGGCACCTACGATTTTGAACACGTTTGTCCTGAAGTCAGTCCGGGTAGGTTCCTGTTACACAATTACAAATGTACACATCACCCCTTCTGTTATGATGGCTTCTTCTAGCCATTTACATATTTTGAGTGAGCAATAGACACATCGGAAGCAGAACGTATCAATCACCAAACTACCGCCTGCATCGCCATCATCATCATCACCTTCATCAGCAGCAGCAGATCACAAGTATCGTTATCATAATCTACATCTGACACCACCGTGACATCTACGCATGGCGCCCCCCAAAGCATGGGGCCTGGGGCGGTCGCCCTCGGGACGGCTCCAGTAACAGCACAAGTACGATCATAACCATGACTACCCCTCCTTAACTCAACACCATCATCAGTAGCAGCATATTTATCACAATCAAAAGCGCTACCAACACGAATACCACCCACCAACATCAGTAGCAGTAAGAAGCACCAGAATCATCACTACCACCCTACCACAACAATCATGTATCATCACCACCACCACCACAATCATTGTGTTTACATTGCACAAGTTAAGTGTTAAGTTGATTTTATTTAACCGGGTGAGGACGCACCAGACCAGGACAGAGTCTCATTTGCAAACGCGTGACTGCCATGGAGCATCAGTCCGCCAGTATGGGACGACGATTGCTGCTCTCTGTGTTTGTAATCACAATTGGCTGGGGAGCAGTGACGCATGCGCACTCACTGCGTCACGAACCCGGCCACCCGAGTTCGATTCCCGCTCGTGGACAATAACAGTGGCGAATATTTGAACCGGTCCTGGGCCATGCCCAGGAGCGTTGGGCGGTTATGCGCGGAGGCCCTAGACCAGGGGTCTAGGGCGGCTCTTTACGGGCTGCTTCTTGACGATGAGTACGTATGTACTCAGATGCATTGCGGCTCTTGAAATACTGAATTTTGTACCGAATTGGAAAGAAATGGCTCTTCTTGTTATTTTGGTTGCCGACCCCTGCCCTAGACTAATCAATCAATCACCTTTCAGCCTCTTAATCACCATCAGTCGAAAGACATTCTGTAACGGTTAGCGCGCTGCGCTAAGAACCCGGCGACCCGAGTTGGATTCCTGCCCACGGCCAACACCAGTAACGATTATCTGATCCGGTCTTGGGCCTCCCCTAGGTCGACTCGTCCTTAAATGAGTACCCTGGCGCGGTGTGTAAACAAATCGCCACTGGGAAGACAAAGGCGGCCGGGCGTAGTGCTGGCCACCGAAACCCTCGTGTGCCGTGCCGGCCTTCATAGGTGCTCGCTCACAGCACTTGCCCCAAAAACTCTGTTTAGGCTATATGGGGGACCTTTATCTTTGTAATCCCAATAGAGTACCTTTGTTCAGAAAATGCACATTACAAATGCGCCACCTTCAACGTTACGTTTTGCACATGAACGTGTTGTGAACCGGTAACAATTATTCACAATACAGAAGGACACTTGAGTTTTAAACGGGAAAAACAAGTATACAGAGGTGGGACAAAGTCATTGTTATGCAAGTCCAAGTCGAGTCTGAAGTCATCAAATTCATGACTCGAGTCTGACTCGAGTCCAAGTCACATGACTCGAGTCCACACCTCAGAGGTGGGACAAAGTCATTGTTATGCAAGTCCAAGTCGAGTCTGAAGTCATCAAATTCATGACTCGAGTCTGACTCGAGTCCAAGTCACATGACTCGAGTCCACACCTCTGCAAGTATATATATATAGAGTTCCTGTTAAATAGATTATTGCGAAGGAGCATTAGACGCGATGTAATATATACGCCAACACAATCTAAAAAAAGTGAAGACCTATGACAAAAAACGGTAGTGCTTAAATAACCAAATAAGCAGACCGTGTCTCCTTCACATATTAGTCTGCACATACATTTAATATTTCTTACACGCAGCTTTCCGGGAGTGCGTGATTTCAGCAAGCTCTGTTTCAAGAGAATTAAACTGGCCCGGTTGTGACATTCACCCTCTCATCAACAGAAACGGGCTTCCTTGAACCAATGCTGATGATCTTACAGGCAAGGGCCTGTAACACATTCCTGCGGAGCGAGCTGGTAGGAACGTTGGGTTGCTCGGTCAATGGCCAGGGTGAACGGCGGCGTGGTGTATTCCACAAATATGCCCGAATGTGAGGGCGGGCACAAGCCGGCGTGAGTAGGTTAAACGTTGAGTTTTATAAGGGCACCACGGGGTGACCAGCCCCTCCCCACCCAGCCCCTCCCCACCCTCCCCACCCAGCCCCTCCCCACCCTCCCCACCCAGCCGCTCCCCGACTCTCCCCTCCCCACCCAGCCCACCCTCCCCACCCTCCCCTCCCCACCCAGCCTCTCCCTCCCCACCCAGCCCCTCCCCACCCAGCCCCTCTCCACCCAGCCCCTCCCTGCACGACAGACGGACGGACACAATAATCCCCTGTGGGCTGGCGGAACCAGTGGGTTCCTACCAGTATAATGTGTGGCGCTAGTTCAACGCGACATTAAATCGTAATACAGCGCCAAACTCAAAGCAATCACACGCGTCGCTGTGGAGAATATGAATTACAAAAATACATTCGCACGAAATGTCTCCGCATATCAGGCGCCCCGATGCGCCGCACCCTGGAGGACGGCTCTGAATGCGGATCGCAGGGTTAATTGGACTTGTAAACGAATATGGTAGACATATAAAAATATTTTTACGCACGCGCCGGGTAAATTATGACATTGTCCGATCCCCGCTCGCTGAGCGTCAGTGATGTGGTGCTCTTGTCATGGTGAAACATTGGTTGGCAAGTACACCGTCTGCTTTTAAGATGAAACTAATTATGTTGGTGGTGGTGGTGGTGATTCCGCTGCTACTGCCTTGTTTGTGGTGCATGAACAACAACAAGACTTAACACGTAGGCTTTCGCGACCAATATTATTCATACATTTCAAAATGCTGTTGATTCTCTCTTCAGCACACCGGTGGGCTAAAGAAGTGAATTATTTTGTCCTTTGTAAAACGTGACACATTTTTTACTGTTTGGCCGTGTCGGGTGGTGGAGGGTTACGACACATTTATAAATAACGCGATCTGACCCAAAAACCTATATTATGAACAACAAGACTCAACACGTTTGTCAATAACACTGCGGCCTTAAAAGTATAAAATAGGAAACGTTTTGGGCAATGGCCCTTCTACAGAGTACAGGGACTCCTCTACTTACAAACATTCGACTTACGAACTTTCAGAGATATGAACAAACCTGTCCGTATGTCCAGTTGTCTGTTCGTGCCCAGTCGTAAGTTCAACCGCAGCACAATAGATGGCGGTGGTGACATCCACATCTACAGAACGTGACGAACCAGTGGCATCTACATCTACAGCAGATTATACAACTTTTAAAGCCATTCCCGGTGTTTAGTGTACATGACGTACAACATGTTTGGAATCAACAGGAGTAAAGTTGGACTTACGAACAACTCCACTGACAAATAGACCTCTGGAACCTAACTCGTTCGTAATTACCGGAGTCCCTGTACATGTACGTACTATGTTGAACTTCTTTCGCACGATACGTAGCCAATCGCGCTAATCGGAGGTGTGGGAGAAGGACAACACACTAAATACAAGAATCAGTTCCAAAGAAATGAGTTTTCAATCTAGATTTGAAAGTACATAGCTCCAGGAGGCTTCCTAATATCGGAAGAGCGTTCCAGACGGCCGCAGAAGTACAGCAATGCGGTGACCGTCTTTGTTCGATGTCTCGCCAAAATCCGCTGCGAGGATTAAAATATAATTGTAGAGGCCAGAGAGTGGATAATAAGAGTTGGTACTTAACACCATGGGGCCTGATGGGAATTTAAAAAATGTTACCAAAATGATTAACAGTTCTTAAATTGGCGTGTGAAGAGTTTACATTTATGTTCATCAGGATTTGTATTTATTCTCATCAACCCCCATGGGGTAAAGATCAGTCTCCCAACTCGTATTGTCCACGCTCTGGAAATGCAGAAGGGTCATTGCCAGAAACGTCGCCTTTTACTTACGCTTCCTTTTAAATGTGTTGATGTGTTTCATTCACTTTAGGAATCAATAAAAAAACATGTTTTACGATGAAATCTACGTCTAGAATGGACCACCTTCTCTCTCAATATCCTGCCCCGACTGGACATATGTGGATAAGAGTTTTATGGCTCATCGGATTTCTTCCCCAGTATAAATAAATATTCTGATTCTGACCCCCCCCACCCCCCAATAATCGGAGAGTTGTCTGTGAAGTCAAATGTTCAAATAGTTTTCTTCTCTGGAAGGTCAAACGTCAACACACTTTCCACTCGAGTCAGCTCTAAAAATCCGGACTCTTCGTTTCGATGGTATTTGACCTACCCTTACACGCTGTTTAGCACGTAGGCTTTCGCGACGAATATTATTCATAGTAAAGGTTTTTGGGTTAGATCGCGTTTTTTTATAAATGTGTCGTAACCCTCCACCACCCGACACGGCCAATCAGTAAAAACAAGTGTCGCGTTAACTAAAGACAAACAGTTCACTACTTTAGCCCACCGGTGTGTTGAAGAGTGAATCAACATCATTTACAATTTTGGAGTACGACGTTTCGCTCGTAATTACATCCAGCATCAGAGGGCGATTTGCCAGAATGGTGAAGCCCTCCACGTGCTTCCCGGTCTTCAATAGAGCAGCAGCACGGTGACGTCATCATTTAACCCAATCTGGTGCAGTGACTTGAGGGGGAGAGGCGGGGGTATTGGAATTACCTTCCC